GTTTTTGAGTGCCGTACTGGATTAAATGAGAAAATTTAAGAGAATTTCTGATTAACTTTATACTATAATATGTATTTGGCCTAGATTAGCAAATGTATCATAGAACGAATTACATAGTACTTATTATTCTCAAAGTTGATTTTGGAAATTGAGTTTTGAATAAAAGCCTTTACACACAATAATCTCACCAAATAATTGAGCGTTGTCTGTTGTTTGACCATTGAATGGTCTGAATTATTTTTAAGCCGTTGTTTTAATATTAGTATGACGTAAATAATTGATCATCAATTAATAATATGATGTAAATAATTGGCTATTTGAATAAGTATTTACTTATTATAAGTATTATACTTAGTATACTTAATATAAGTATTTACTTATTCAAATACCCAATTATTTACTCGAATATATCATGGAGAGTGCTTCGAGGAATTGTTCGGACTAATATCTAATACATAGCAAAGTGTTCATCCCCATCACTTTCATAATTGGCACTCTACCGCCGTGCGCTTTTGAAGACATGTTTTACCTCGCACAACCAATCTGTGGAAAAAGTTAACGTTCGAGGAAGGAGTACGCTCTGTACTCCTTCCGCTGGCAACGCGCTTGTGACTCCTGACATGCAGGCGTTCATGGGTGGCGGTACTCACTTTCCATCAGGTGACAAGGTGTAAAAAAATAACATAAGAATGACTGTCGCCTCCTATACCACAAAAAAAAAACAATAATCCACTTACAAACTATGATTAACGTTTATAGCGGTGACAATTAAAATAATTTATTTGACAACCTGCCTTGTCACTTGGTAGCTACTGGCCCGTTTCCAGCCCAACTATTAATACTGTGCAGATAATATATCGTTGAAATGCAACAGATTTATGTCCGCTCAGTGTGTGGTTTACGCGGGCATTCGTTCAATGACCGTTTGTATTTTGGAAAGCATTATTTGGCAATAATACTGATGATTTCGGAACAACAATTCCACTCTGAAATATTGACTGTACATTAAGGTGTAGATTTGCAATTAGATTGGTGGTTCGACGTGTTAATTAGTCATATTTAATACTGCCTCGGAGAACATGTTAAGCCGTCTGTCCCAGTTACAATACGAACATTTGTGTCAATCGTTATGGGCAGTAGGAGCCCTAAACAGTCTATGTAGTGTGGAAGTCTGAGCTCCACTTAAAACATCGAAGTTCAGAAGTGTCTTAGTAGACTCAAAGCCGACTCTAACCAAGTTTGGGAAAAGACTCTTAAGATGATTTTGGTTATTTAATACTTCAACTATTAGCTTAGTGCGTGTTAATAGACATCGGTCTACACATACACGATTAAGCAAGCATGCGTACACACGATCATCAATTTAAAAAAAAAAAAAACAACATATAAAAGAAGTTCGAAACTGCTACAGGTCGTCCTGCGAACTTGTCCGTTTTTCACTAAATGTGTGAAGTAGGATATATGTAATTATTTTGTTTCTTCTGATTTGACGGATTTAGTTATGAATATTTACAAGTCTTCACCCAAAGTTAAATAAAATTAACTGTCTGTAATAGTGAAGGGGAAAATGTGCAGGAATTTCATTAAATTGAAGAGCTTCTGGAGAACCCGCCCAAAAATATTTTCCCCTTATTAAATCTGCGTCAAATTGTACAAACTTAGTCGCCTATTTTGTAATTTGCTGTAATCTGATGACATAGTCATATTTAAAACACTGTAAAATAAAATTAACCACTACAGAAAACATTATGAAGCAAATAAGTGGCTAAGTAAAATATTTTTAATGTTGATTAAATGGTTAGTGAGCCTAACTTCTAAGCCGGAGATCGTAGGTTTGATTCCCAACCAGGACAATTAATTGTGTGATGAGCACGATGATTTGTTCTGTGTCTAGGTGTAATTTATCTATTATATTTATGTATTTTGAAATGTTTAAGCAAGTTTATCAGCAGACTGGTTATCATGTGTGTTATGTGTATTTAAAAAAGGAAAAAAACAACGATTTCTTATAACATACGGCAATGACTAAAAATATTAACAGAAATTACTTGCGCCTAAAGCCGAATCAAGTGCTAGCTAGGCATTGTAAGGCCGAACAAGAGGCAGTAATTAAATAAAATTTACCTTTTCAGTTACCGAAATAATAAATGTCAAACAAATAAAGACGGTCGAACAGCAGAGTACAAAATTTGTCTACAATTTTCGTTAGTACATCAGTGAAAAGCTACAAAAGTCTAGAAAACAATGGCGAAATAAATTTAGAACTCTAGTTATAATGCAGCATTCACTGAAAAATGAGCAACTTCGATTTCCTTTCTATTGTGTTTTTTCTCTGGTGACGGATTAAGAATACGTAATGTCACCACCCCTATTCATCGTGTCGTAAAAGTCTTCTAATGAAAACTTGAAACAAACCCTATACCAACCCGTCTGGCCAGCGTGGTATAGTAGGCCAAAACCTCCTTTCAGACGAGAGGCCTATGTCCAGCAGTGGACTATCATAGGCTGTTTATGTGATGTGATGATGTGTTCTTTGCGATGAATTCAGTCTCCGGACCTTCTTAAACTTCTTGTTGTGCTAACATCTCCTGCTAAAGACACTATAGAATGTTTGGATTTATAGGCAATTGTCTTCGTGAACTACACACCCTCAAGGCCTCATGTCACGATTCGTCATGTAATACTTAAATTATGTAATATAACTTAATTTATACAAGTAAAAAAGGCGTTAGAAGGACACGTGTCATAAAAATGGGACGCCATAACATTTACCCTATAAATGTTAACACAAATTGTTGAATTCAAGAACTTTTATCGTGAAATGTAGTGCTGGAATACTAACTAAATTTCGAAGTATTAATACATAGGCTTGGCATGTGGATTGGCGATGACAGTGAGTTGGTACTGTGCTCAGTAGGATGCTGCTGCCCATCCTCTGGTATACCATCTCTTAGTCGTCTTTTACGACACCCACGAGCAGAGATAGGGTGGAGCTATTCTTAGCTGGCATCACATGGCACATTGCTCGCAGAAAAGACGGCCAATGGGGCCAAAAAGTTCTGGAGTGGCGATCACGTACCGGAAGACGGAGCGTGGGTAGGCCCTATACAAGAAGATATGAAGAAGAAGATGATGAAGATCGCGGGAAACCGTTTGATGTGGCAGCACAGAACCGGTTTTTGTGGAGAGCCTTGGTTGAAGCCTATGTCTAGCAGTGAATGTCTGTCGGCTGAGATGATAACTATGAATACACATTTATAAATCTCTTTCTCTTTTTTCTTTATTTTACAGCTCCCGTACTAGGAATATATCTGCGGGAGACTTTACAAACATACATAAAACGGACACAAAGCTCACCCAGACTCAACAATTGGTGGATCACACAAAATGTTGTTCCATGTGGGGAACGAACCCACAACACTCATCGCAGTAGGAAACGGCGAGGTGACCGCTTAAACCTACATTGTAAGCCAAAAAAACAAACTGTAACATTTTATATTACATCTTATTACATTAATGTTATCCGACATTTTGGATCTCTTTGATGTCAGCATCATACATTTTTAATAAAAAAAAATATTTGTATTCGAAAGAAACAATTAAGTGGAATTAATTGGCTGTTACCTGCGTATAAATAATAAATATTATACGAAGAAATTGCTTTTTCGGAAATAAACGTGTCTACTCTAAACTTTAAGGGAATGTTTTAGGAGCCTTTAATTCTTTAGTGATTAAAAATGGAAAAACAAAGACTATTCAAAGAGTATTTCCTCATTTAAGTGTAGATTGCTAACAATTGTAAGCCTTCACAATTCAAGAGGTTACTGATACTTAATTATTATAAATTTTGCTGCTTTATTCAGAATGACTAATAGTCCATTTGCGTTAAGGAAAAAGTGAAACATCGATGAAGCGCCGCCCCACGACCAATCAAGTTCCAAGAATTCAAGCTTGGAACCTGATCGGCCTGAACAAATACATGAATAGATATTAAAATTTAATTAATATTAATATAATTGTTTGTTTATTTGTGAAGTTTCCTCGATCCAGGAAAAAAAAGGAATTGCCCGAAATGCTTCAACAAAATAAAAAAGTCTGCAATATGGCGAATATTGCAAAAGAAATAAAATATGTTTTTTTCTTGTAGTACTTGTAGCTGAATTTCATAGATGAACTCAATACGTGAATATTTCACTCATGCTTATTTCATTTGTCTCTGAATTGTATGTACTCCCGAGAATAAATTATGCTTTTCTCTTATTCTTACAATACATATGACAAAGTCAAGAACAAGCTTAGCATTTATCTGTTGAATACATTGTCAATAAGCTTGATAATACCCGTATTAAAATAAGCTCAAGGGACTACCGTTAAAAGGTCAGAAAATAAATACATAGAGAAAATTGTTTATATCCATTTTTTTAACTCCTAATTGGGTTTCACAGAAGCATATCGTATTTGGAATACTGAATATTTATATGTAGATGTGCAGAAAATGTTGCAACAATATATGCTACACTGTTAAAAATTATGCAAAAACCGCAACATAAAACTAGTCCAGTATATATTGTAACCTGTTATGGTTCAAAAGTATATATAATAACAGGTCGAAATACATTAGTCAATGAAAAAAAACAATACGGTTTACATTCAAAGGATCGAATTTCTCGATTCTCGGTAGGATAGTGGGTTCTCTTAATCCAAACACAAATTTTAATTTCAGTTGGAACTATGAGAAACCATGTTACTAGTATTCTAATTAATCTTTGTTTAAGAATGGTTACTTTGTAAATTCACTACAGTATAATAATTAAACATGAAAACCTCAAGTTCCGCTTCACTTAGAAATATTTTAGCGTTGTAATTTGACATCTTCAATTATTCTAATCGAGCATTACCCCGGGTTTTACCCCCTCTGTAATAATTCATTATTATTACTATTCCTTTTGTTGTGTTCTGGTTGTAGAATTTATTTTATACCAAGTTAAGTTTGCTAGATAATGCTTCAACAGGTGGCCAAATCAGCCACGGTTCACAAGAATTTCCTTTATAGGGTAATGTGTTTAAGTCGGTTCGGGGCCGATATAGCCGAACTATCCGTTAAGCCCCGGTAAGGTGATGACCTATGTTGGTTTCTTCACACAAAGAAAATATAATACTTGTGATTTTTTTTTTTTGTTGAATGACCTCACTATGATGATTGATGGGTATTTATATGATTGCATTCGGTTTATTTGCATTCTTTGAAACTACGAACATGTGCCTAATTATCAAACTTAAAAGTGTCATAAATACTCCGTTCATAATTTGTACCTTACGTGCCTGTTACAAGTCTAAAAATCTAAAAGCTTGTCACACAAGGATCAGCTAAAAATTTGATCATTGGTCAGTGAATCAACAATGGGAAGACAACTGACAAGATTAACGAGTTTTAAACTACTGGTTTTAATTGGATATAATTTGAGAACTATATGTTATGCTCATGGTCAATCAAAATGCAACCTACTTGCTTTATATTTAACGAATTTAAAGAGGATGGAAAATTATCTTTCCATTGAATCCAGGATAATATCAAAAATATAGAATAAATATAGAATGACTACAGTCATTCTATATTTATTCTATATTTTTATATGGATGGCGTAGTGGTTAAAGCGGTAGCCACGCCGCTTACTACTAAGCTGAGTCTTGCGGGTCCGATCCTCACATGGGACGACACTTTGTGTGATCCACAAATTGTCGTTCTGAGTCTGGGTGTCCTTTGTGTCCGTTGCATGTATGTTTGTAAAGTCCCCCGCGACACAGGATTTATGCCTTGTGCGGGAGTTGTCTTTTAAATATAGAGATAAACCTATATCGATAAAGCTAAACAGATTATCACACTTGAAGATAAAAAACCACAAAAATCTGTAATCTTATCAAATTTTTTTCATAAGAAGTATTGATTTACTACAATGTTAATTAAATCCGCTATCAACTATATTCATAGACTATCAAAGAAAACCTTTTTGTCCTTTTGTATTTCGAACATCAAATTGAACCCGATCGCCGATGAGGGACAGCGGTGGCGCAGGGGTGCTAATTTTACGGTCCAATAGCGCGAGAGAGCCGATTGGAAAACGCTGATGACTGTGCAGTGATTATATTCCACGAGTCCGTGTTCTAATTTCGTGTGCGTCGTTCTATTTATGAATTTAAAAAAAAGGTAAGTTTTCTATGATTGGAGTATTGTTCATTTTATCGAGAATTATCATATTACGTATTTCTTTATATACAGAATGGAATATTTATGGTTTTAACTTTTGCCCGTAATATAGTTTTTGACAATGAATTTAGGTATCTCGCTAGTTTTTTAGGTAAGTACCCTAACCAGTATAAGAAGGCCATCGCAGAATGCGTAGATATTTTAGTTAAAAGTTTTCTCATCTCATCACGAGTATTTATTGGTTTTGTGTACAATGTATATCGTTTGTTATGATACTGGTAATAGACTAAGTAATGGACTAAGGCACGGAGTATCCTTTTAATTCATGATATTTATGTAGAAATAATAATTCGAAATTACGAAATTTGGTGTTAATTGGTGTAATTTGATGTTAATATTGCTTTGATAAATGGAATAGTATACAGTAGATTCGTAGGAGAGGTAATGTGTGAAGTATGTATATTGTAGATAGCTACGGAAGTGCTACAACGGTTTCGTAGCACCCATTTACCGTAGCGCTACTGACTATAAATAAGTGAACAGTGAAACCTTGATGTAACAAAGCCAAATGCAGGCCAAAAGGCTATATATTAATACGTGAAGACTATTCTGTTTACGCATTTTTGAGAAAATTTCGTGAATGGAGTAACGTAAAATTGCAATACTTATTTGAAAAACAAAAACAATTAAGACCTTAGGTCTACTACAATTTTGGTAATGGAAATAATAAAACAATATATTAACTACACAAAAACAGTAAAAAATTAAAAACTAAAAGAATGAAATGAAAAAAATGTATAAACCAATTCGGCAATTTTTATAAAAAAAAAGTCCAATATCTTAATTTTTTTTGGTTTGGGATATGGTATTTCATAGTAAAATCTATCAAAAATGATGGCAAGTATAGCCCCTTAAAGTATCTAGGTCGACTTAACCAGCAACCCTGTACATATGACAGAATATATTTTATTCGCGACTTCGCTCGCGTTAATGTCTGTTTTCTCTATCAAGTTTTCCTTGATAAATAGTACGTGCTATTCCGATTATTACCTATCTCTGTGCCAAATTTCATCCAGATACTTAGAGCAGTTCTGTCGTGATTGAAGATCAAACATCCGTGCATCCATCCCCACAAACTTCACGTTCATAATAATACTGGGATAATTTAAAAGTCTATTTATTTTTTTTTTAAATTTAAAAATCAATTGCCCTAATTCATTATTATTGAGCATTTTATAGTCGTTCATTATTACTAATCTTCTGTTGTAAAATATACTGCAAAAGAAGTCTTAACAAAGATCAAATTACAAAAAGGTTGTTTAGAAAACTGTTGCGGCACAACCAGCCGATATTATCTGGATCGACTGTTGTCGCATCCTTCCGGCAGATGTCCCGTCTGCGCTCTAAAGACGACAGACGGTTGTTCTCGCCACCACGATACGATGCGAGATGCACAGAATGGGTTATGTAGAACAAAATGGCTCTTTGAATTTACTGGAGGAAACTCAAAAGTAAAAATATTTTTTCTAAAAATTAAGCTTAGCTTGCTAAACTTAGAATGATATATGTATAATTACATATTGTAATTTTACTTAAATTGTGTAAGTACAAATAATACACTGCTATTTAGAACTTTGCTTAATTTCTGTTTCTTCCTCGTCTCCGTCGTCAGGATAGGCGGATTGGGCTCCTGTAATCTCATCATCATCAACAACCTTTAATAATCCACTGCTTACATAGGCCAGACTGGTTGGTATAGTGTTTGTTTCAAGTTTTCCTTCTCTTTGCAGTGCTTTTGTACGTTACGCTGTTCTGCTTAACGATACCCACGGTATGCATAAGGGTAGTGACACTCTATTCGTAATCTGTCACCACACGAACAACCATAGAACATTACAGAATTAATCATCATCATCAACAGCCTTTAAAAGTCCACTGCTGGATATAGGCGTCTTCTTAGAAGGTGGCCTACTATAACACGCTGGCCGGGCGGGTTGGCATAGAGTTTGTTTCAAATTTTGCCTTCTGTGAAGTGCTGTTGTCCTGCGTACTTTATTCCCTTAGTCAGCTCTTACGACATCCACGCTATGAATAGGGGTGGTGACACTCCGCACTCCTAATCATCCACACGTTAACCTGACTCACTCGAAAGAATAGCTTAACACCGTTTTTCTATGAAGACGTGGTTACACTCCGATCGGCTCATATGTGCCAAAACATATATTATCTCTCCCACGGTAGGTACAATAAAGTCACCCATTTTGCATTATATCTACGTTCATTTATGTTTCTGTACATTTGTTTTCCTTCCTTCGGTGTAAAGAATATTTATAATTACGTGGGGCATACTGAAAGTCTCTGGATCTGGCCACTTATAATAAAATAATCAAAAAACAATTATGGAATTCAAAAAAGGGAACTTTGAGAACATGTTATTTTTTAATTTGCGAGACTTTCATTTGTTTATTCATTATGACGTCCTTTCGAAAATTGTGTGTCGCTATCAAAATGAATTTAACTCGTTCAATAATTTTTATGATTTTCGTTGTGGCTTAAGTCAAGAAGAGAGTTGCCAGAGATTTCAATTGGCATTTGGTCATGAAGCACCATGTCGTAGTTCTGTGTATTCGTGGTTTGGCGAATTTAGACGTGGACGTGATCATCTCCATGATGAGGTACGTGAAGGTCGGCCCGGCAACTGTGGTTACAGACTCTAATATTGACACCGTACGACAACTTATTGATACTGACAAAAATTACTTTGCCAGCAAATTCGTGCTTTATTAGGCATTGGAATGAGCCAAGTGCAAACCATTTTACATGTGCATCTGAAGGTTCGGAAGCTTTGCACTCGATGGATACCGCATGTACTCGTAATACATACCCACGTAACACGTGTATGAGTGTGTATGTTTCCTTTAATAATACAGTGGTATAGTACAGTTGGAATATAATTGAAAAACAATAAATGTATCATAACTCTTTTATCTAGTCTTATTTAGTTTTCAGTATGCCCTAAATATTATCTATGTATGAGCTCAAAATACGTTTCTCGCTCTTTCTTTCGTACGTATGATCGATTTTTTCGGCGAAAATTGCGGCAAATGCCATTATCATATTCGAATGAGATTTCATCTCCATTTTTATTATTACCTTCATGTACTCGTTGAATTGATATGGAGACTTCGTTTTTAATAAGTTTCGTGTTACAACAGTCGTAAATAGATTTTCGTGATCTTCACGGTATTATTTACTGATGGTAATGATATCAAAAGTGTACTGAATTGAATAAAACAAAATTATAGATGTCGTTTATTGGTTTTCTTTTAGGTGGTTGTCAAACTTTCTTTTTTGAAATTGTTACGATAACAATTTTTGAACCAAAGTGTGTATATAACAGAAATCAGTGAACACGATGTATAGATACTTGATTCGCTAACTTTTAAACTTTCGCGTTCCATGATAATTAATATTATTTAACGGGAATTAACGCGATCTCTTATTTAGGGTATTACATACCTCTGGTTTGCCTGACGTTTCGACCAGGTTGCACCGGCCGTGGTCACAGGCTGACTGGAATTAACGCGATCTCTTATTTAGGGTATTACATACCTCTGGTTTGCCTGACGTTTCGACCAGGTTGCACCGGCCGTGGTCACAGGCTGACTCACTGGTCAACCTGGTCGAAACGTCAGGCAAACCAGAGGTATGTAATACCCTAAATAAGAGATCGCGTTAATTCCCGTTAAATAATATTAATTAGATACTTGATTCGTTGAGCCTCACTCGAAAAATACGAAGAGTGTTGTGTGAAACCTGAAAAAGTTTTTAAAAGTTAAAATGGACTTTGATCTTAAAAGTGTTCGTTCTATTATACTTTATCAATTTTTTTAAGTTCATTGACTCAAGGAGTTTATTACTGTAATCACAATGTGTCACATTAATGTTTCTTATATGATGTTATGTTTTGTGAAACATCTTTAATTGGAGTGATATAATAAGTGGTGCCTTATGCATTTTTCATACTTTTTAGTACAGATGCTAAGTAACTACTTATTGTAATTGAATATCAAAAGCGTTAATCCCTGTGTAAAACAGTTTGTTTAATTTTATGGATTCATCATCATCATCAACAGCCTTTACTACTGCTAGACATAGACCTCTCCTCAGAAAGGAGGTTTTATCCTACTATACCACGCTGGCCAGACGGGTTGGTATAGGGCGTTTCAAGTTTTCCTTCTCTTTGCAGTGCTGTTGTTCTGCGTAGTTTACTTCCTTAGTCGGCTCTTACGATACCCTCTTGATGAATAGGGGTGGTGACCCTCTGTATTCTTAATCCGTACTACACGGACGTATTGATTTAAATAACGAAATTATCTTAGCACATGTTCCTAGTATGCCTTTTCTTTTTCTTTATATCTTCTCAATCTTTAAAATATATATATATCTAAAAGTAATCCGAATGAAACGAAATTGATTGTAATAATGAATACCCAATACATTACATACTGACACCTACCTGAAAATGATATAGAATACGATAAAAAATAATGCAAATTTAAATACAAGTTAAGAAAATCGCGTAAATACAAACATACTTTCCTCCGAGCCTTTTTCCCAAATTAGGTTGGAGTCGGCTTAAGCCTACTACGTCGGAGCGACTGCCATCAGACTTTCACCACCCGGGTACTAGGCGATATCGAAGTTCTTTAGAAAGACTGTTGTCGGAGTTTTTAGGTCTGCAACTACCCGTAACGATTGCCCCAGATGTTCGTATGGCAACCGGGACTCATGGGTTAACGTGCTCTCCGAGGATTCCTTAACTTTGCAATTAACCTATTTGGTTACCACTTAGCCACGAAACCCACGACCGTACATACAAACATACCACATAACTTTTATCTTCTTTTGTTGAGGAACGGGAGTTAGGAGGATGGGGAACGGTTGGAGGATAGTCCCTTTATGTTGTCCCTCCAACATAAGGTTAAGTGATCATGGCTGGCGGGCCCCAAAGATTGATCTTGAAAAGTTGTATAAACGCTGATCGGTGTGAGAACTTTTATAGCGCGATTATCATTTACTCCGTAGTTCGGTGTGTCTTCGTCAGATGACACTGAAGTATTTTTCTCTTTCGTTGTATGTGAAAGTAACTTTAATTGATGTGTTCAGGCATAAAATGTAATAAACGCTTAAGTTATCAATATAGATATACCGCAGCAACCTATATTATTGTTTCATCAAACACTAAATACCACATACACACAATTAGTGATACATTACAAACAACCTCACTACCACACAGTACACACATCTCATTAAATTTTCAATTATAAACAAAGATATACATGTATTATCATACTAAATAGGCCATTAATTGAGGATTAGAAGGATTTCTACACAGTGGTACATTAATTATCCACTTAATTATAACTCGTTGCTGTGTCTATTGATAAAATTCATGTTACAGCAATCATTTTTCATCGAGTTACCTAAAATAAATCTTAACAAAAGCAGTACCATTCATTTCTGTTTTTATTTAAAACGAAGAGAAGGCAAACTTGAAACCCTATACCAACCCATCTGGCTGGGGTGGTAGACCAGAACCTCCTTTCTAAGGAGAAGCCTATGAACAGCAGCTTTTTTTAAAGGCTGTTGATGATATCTGTACCCTGCCATGCTGCTACACATTGCGGTTGCATTGATGAAAATTGACCCAAAAACAAAAATAGATACAAACAATCTCTGAAGCGGTTTGTATATCGTGTTAAAATTTGAGCTCAATCGTTGCAGAACTTTTTGAGTTTTTGAAGCGTACACAAACCAACTTAATTTTTATGTATATAGATAAATTCAAACAGATTAATGTTGCGTCCATTAACTAAGGCTCTAGTCAACCGTGAATGCGCCATATTTATTCAATCATAAATATTAATCAGGCCAACAGCAGTAATACACGTGGAGATGTTCCGAAATTCTGAATATTCATTCCGTTGACGTGTCTGAGTGGTTCTGCGTGCCAGAGTCAGCCTTTGACCGAATACATCAAACCTCAAAGCTTGCTTCAATTAATTCTATGGATCTGTATAATTTGAACTAGAAATGTTATTACTGCATACAGATGGGTTTATTATAGACAGTTTGGTCTTCCTTCTTGTGGATGATCAGTTATTTGTCTGTTATTTCGAATAAAATATAGCCCGATATCATCATCATCAACAGCCTTTAATAGTCCACTGCTGAACATAGGCATATCCTTAGAAAGAAGGTTTTGGCTTACTATACCACGCTGGCCAGACGAGTTGGTATAGGGTTCGTTTCAAGTTTTCCTTCTCTTTGCAGTGCTGTTGCCCAGCGTAGTTTGCGCCCTTCAAGGAAGGATCAATAGGGGTGGTGACACTCCGTATTCTTAATCAGTCACCACAGGGAATGATGTAACTCTTTTATGGTGAACCAAATTATTAATTAGGTAATTGTTAGTAGACTTGCAAATTAATTAATATATTGGAAAAATTACCATGGAACTTAACCGGAGTGATACCACGCCTTCACAGAAAACCGCGTATAGGAATTCCTTCGTTGATTTTCTTTGAGTAAGTTTGGCCACTACAGACTTACAATAAAAATATGCTTGGGTGTAGTAGAAAACATAATCGATGTTAAAACCGATTTTACTTTTATCGATTTCATCTCACTAATGTGAATCGATGGAAAGTCGATATATTTTATCGCTCTAACTCAATTTAGCTGAACGACATTACGTTGGAGGTCCATTTAGGCGATCAATGTAATGCAGGCAGCTGCTGTAGCCAACTAATTGGAGCAATAGCGTTCTGGACGGCGTCGATTCAATTCCGATGTGCATCCAATTCGAAATAAACAGCGTTATACATCTGGATACCGACAGCCTTACTCTGTACAATTGCTTTTTATATGATATTTTTAATTTGAAGTCTATTTAATAGGACTCTTGTTAAAAACTCTAATAATATCAAGTTTGTTTCATATTATTAACATTGAAATTTGTTTGTTACAGGGGATTCGGCAAACAAGGATTCCAGTGTCAAGGTATGTTTATTATATTGGTTTTGTGGTCGCCTAATTTTAAAAAAAAGTTAGCTCAATACATATTCTCTAATCTACTAATTTTTTTTAAATATAAAAAGAAACTATGAATCTGTGCTTATTTTGAAAAACTTCAAAATACATAAATGGTAAATTATGGTATGGTAAAAAAAGATTAAATTGATTGCTAAAAGAAATGTATTTTGACCAATATTTACCTTACTTGATTAAGTAAAGCAGAAATCGAACTAAATAATATAAAAAGAATCTTTACTATCATCGAATAACATAGATATTTGTTCAAATAGGCGAAGTGCCAGTATTACGAGAATACTACTGCCAGTAGATGGTCAGAAAATTGCATTTAGGATTGCGAAATTTATACACTACGAATATTCGTAGAGGTGCTACGAAGTCTACTGCGGACTCGTAGCACTGTAAATACGTCTGTACGTAATAGGAATCAGCAGCGCATCCTTGGAGCGGAAAACCTTTGTACCTTTGAGCTGTAGGAATATTTCGCTTCTACTCGTAACTGTTTAAAAATGTCCTTTGTGTATTTCATTACAAATTACAATTACAATTTAGTTACAAATTATATTTTATTGTAAAGTATTTTATAATTTTAAAAATAATTAGATTGGATGCAGATTGGGTAGACTGAATTTCTACGTCAAGCAGTGGATGCACCATATTTGGACATGGAAATGACGATGATATTTTTTTTGTTAAAAAAAATATATCTACTATTTTGTATCATATCAATAAAAACTTCTGTAAGTATTCGGTATTTATAACTATTAACCCAGATAAAACCAATACCGCCTCTCTAAGGAGAGGCCTATGTCCAGCAGTGGACTGTTATAGTCTGTTGATGATGATGAACCCAGATAAGCCTACTTTCCCATATGTAGGATGGCAGAACAAAAAAATAGACGTTCCAGAGAATGATTTGGAGAGAATTGTATGGAGTTGTTTATAGTAAATATTTTTGTTCCACAGTATGCAGTTTCGTGGTGCACAAGAGATGCCACGAATACGTGACGTTTACCTGTCCTGGTGCAGACAAGGGAGCGGATTCCGACGTAAGTATTCTATATTTATAATAAGTGAAATTCCAACTCCGCTGGCCGTTATGACTTCAGCAGCTCACACTTCTGCTCCACCCACACGCTGGGCTGACAGCGTCTGCAACGCCGTGTTCGTGCTCTGGCCCGCTTCTGTTTACCCCATTTTTTTGTCTTGTTTTTGTGCCGGAATCTCCTCCGAAACCACCCACCGGTGGTTATGTCGGGCTGAAACTGACTAAAAACCGCACGCCGTCTCAGGTACCAGTAGCTGGGCAACCAAGTGTACCCTATGAAACAAATTCCTGGTACCCCGACGGACTCCGGGCCATCTACGGCTTGTAGATGACTTCTTAGTGTGAACCATCCTGATCCCATTCTATTCCCTAGAGCTCCACAGCGCTTTGAGCTGCCAATCCGGCCTGCTTCTGCTAGGGTGGCAGATGGCCTCACCTGTCGCCCCTAAGCCTGCGCTTATGGAGGACGAAGGTCGTTCAGCGTACTGCTAAGTCGTCTGCGGTACCTGGCCCGTTGGCAGGCCGGGAGAGTTCTAAACGTTCTAAGAGTTCTCTTTTCGGATGAGGACTAGTTTCCCCGTCTTCCGCAATTTTGGAAACTGGCCCGCTCGAGGCATGCGCTGAAGAGCCCTCTCAGTCGGGACTCGAGAGCCACGTCATTTAGGGCCAAGACCCACGCTCGGCCTGGAGCTTCTATCATATTGATTTGTACAAATATTAGAGGTGCACACTCCTAATATTTGTACAAATCAATATGATTATGTGCGTTGGTCTGGGTATTTCTATTTATTGAAAATATTTATAAAATAAAATAAGTGTATTTGTATATTATTTAAAATTGTAATAAATGTACTGTAACATACAATAAAATAAAGAGATAGGGAGCTTTAATTCGTACCACGAGTCTAATCCGCTCGGTTGTATTAAGTGATAAACTACAAATGTAATACATTGCAGTTTTTGTGTCAAACTATAACAACATATAATTATAGTGTATTTATGATATTGTCAAATAGGATTTCTTATGAAACGAAATGATATGAAATCAGATGAAATGAAATGAAACGAAATGATATCTAACAGATCGAAGAATGTCAACATTTGCTTCATACTTTTTAAGAACTATAGAAATCCAGTCCACTCAATCCTTATACATATTATGCTATAATGATATCATGCGTTTTGGGTAACAATTGCATAATTTTAACCAAGGTTAACATTATGTACTTATGTCGTAAGCCAATAAAATAACTATCTATTTTTTTACCCAAACCTTTCATTCATTTCTCTTTAGTAGCCAATTTTTTTAAATACGTATAAATTTGTAAATAGTTTTAAGCTTAGCGTATATATACGTTTAAGTACTCTGATTTTTTCAATGTACATGTGCCTATTAGAAACCTGAGAACTTTAAATCCATCGATTTATTTTTAAACTATCTCCAACTCCTAAAACGCAATTTCCGAACCGTCAACCGTCAACAAATTTATATAAAGAACTATATTGTATTCTTTTTTAGATATATTTTTAACATCGGTGGTGGTCACGTTTGATGTAATTTAAGAACTTAAACGTACATTAAAGTATTGACACGTTCAAAATCAATACTAAAAAATACAGTAATATGAACATAGCTATCATCCATATTTTTTTTCTGTTCTTTGTGTCCGTTTCATGTAGGTATGTTTGCGGAGGAGTGCCTCTGCTCACCCCTCCAGTAATATAGGCGTGAGAGAACATGTGTAAAAAGTAAAGCGAACGGATGGACGGATCTATAATAATAGTTCAAGATTGTACTTTGAATGAGATGTGATCTGAAAATTTAAACAAAAAAGAAAAGAAATTAAAAGATCCCAAAAAAAAAGAATTCCATAAATTATTCGAATATACAAACAATTATAAAATGTTAGTTATATAAGGAACTGAAAAACCAAAGGTTAAATTTCCTGTCTCAGATACAAATAATTTTATCATAATAAAAAATGGCCGAACCAAATATTTTAATAGCTAAACCATGCCGGCCATTTTGGAATAATTGGAGAGAACGAGATACCCACCGCCATTTTATTACGCTTTAAATAAGTTACAATTTGTGCAATTTGTAGAATCAGCAGAATCATTATTATGAATGGTGTAATTATATTTTAATTTAATACCGCCCGAATTGTAATTTTGTTTCGAGAGAATTCTGAAACATAATTTCACATTAATTGACCACTCTTTTGTTTTAAAAATATAAATACTCAGATACGTATCTAAATGAGCGAAAAAACATACTTCTTTTGTAACTGACTGACGCTGATAAAGTAGTGGTTTAAGCAGTCGTCACGTTGCTTCCTATTACGCTGACTGTTGTGGGTTCAAACCCCACATGGGACGTCACTTTGTGTGTTCCACAAATAAAATTGATTTCTGAGTCTAGGTGTTCTTTATGTCCGTTTCATATATGTTTGCAAAGTACGCCGCGACACCGTCAAATGTTCAAAAGAAAGTAACTTAGGAATGTGGAATATTCAAAGTTTATATAAGTGCTGAAAGCTAAAATTGTTAAACAATAGTTACGGTTATATCTACACACACCCACGAAAACTTTTCCAAACTTTCTGAAACCAAAACAAAATATTCAAATTTTACTGATTTATGTTCGAAAGTCGACCACACGGTGATCTCAGGTAAGAATAAATATAAGACAAAAGAAAGTCTAGTTGAAAAAAAGAATTTAGGAAACAAATTATGATGGAGTTCCTCTTTTTTTTTCCTTTTTTTTTAAAGACAACTCCCGCATTAGGTCTAACAGTCAGGGATCATGCAATATATTTTTATTGTGCAGTAGTACCATGAGTACTTTCTTGCAAGTTTGCAAGCCTGATAGTAGACCTTCTAATTTAATCATGATGGTTGTAGCCAGGAGAACACGGAACGAGTATATCTGTTCTCATTCTCAGGATTAAGGGGTTTGAAATAAATTTAACTATCAGAAGCGACGCGGCGTTCCGACGTTCCCATCGTTGTCGACACTCGAATCAACCAAGTGCCACTGCCTCACCTCACTACGCTATAAGTATACCTACGAGTAATCATTAAAGAAATACTTTGTTGTTGACGCTCTTTGTCAGAACAAAAGAGGCTCTCAGGCGTATTGATTCGACACATCACAGACTGCACGCGTTAGGGAGAGAAAATTATTCTGTTGAATATTTTTTGCCGAGCTAATTTGAATTTTATTTCACAGAAATAAGAGTCGTTTGGTGCGTGCAGTGTAACGGTTTTTTACTAAGCTATAACTTAATATACACAGTGATTATAATTTTTGTGTTCTCTTTCTTACACTCCCTTCGTAAAATTTGTACTTTTATACAAAATATGTTAAACACATTGTACTAAAGAAGAATATTATAGCTTTCAAGATATTGAATTATCATCATGGAGACTAGCCATGGTAGAAAGGCTTAGTAAGTCATAACTATACAGCGATAATAAAAGTTAATAGGATCCATAAAATTAGCCTTAATAATTTTTCAGAGAGTATACAGATATAAAAGTTTCTGTTATTTGAAGTAGAATTAATTAAAAGTTATTTTAGGGAAATATAGCGCCCAATGATAGAAAGAATTAATTAAACCAAACAAGAAACATTTTTATGCTTTATCTGAAGGCCTATAATTATAAAACCATTGTTCGGCTCGCAAGATGAAGTAGGTACCAAATAACTTTTTTTTTTTTGTTAACGGAGTAAAAGATCCTCATGGATGGAAGAGCGAAGGGGAACGTCGGACTTTTACCGACTAAAAGTCACTCCGGTGTTCCCCTGCTTGCATTCTTCTGCCACCCCTAGGACGGACTTCACCCGTCAGTCCTGTATCTATTCGGACGATGAATTCCCCAAAATCATCGCCCGCAGGCCTCTTTCGAAGGTGGCCGCAGATCGACGAATACTCTCTGGCGTCCATTCCTTTTGCGGGCAGAGAGAGCGGTACTACCGGTACTCTCCCGTCCTGCGGCTTCCTTTGAGGACATTGCCTATAAACCGTCAACCAATAATAAAGCACTATACTGCCTCAACCAAATTATTTGTAAGGCTAAAACATATCAATATTTAGTGTTTCATTTCATGATAAGTTGTGGTTGTATTCTAAATCATTGATTACTGGAACTTGTGATTCATATTTCACTTATCACAAAGAAGTCCTCAGACTGGTTTAAAAAAAATTTGCTAATAAATAGGCCGCAAACATAAATGACTCCAAGGGTACGTTTCCACTGACGTGGAGCTAAACGGAGTGGAGCTGCGCTGACCTGAGCAGACTATAGCTGCATTGAGCCCTGTTGCAAACACTCAAGTTCAATCTCTTGGAGAGATCATACGTCATGTTATTGGTAAGAAAACGAGCAGCGCTTTTACATCTTTATCTACTAGAAGATGAAGTCTACCCTACCCACTGCGCCGCACCGTCCCGCTACCCTCCGCTTGGCACCACTGCCTGCTTGACTCCATTCTGTCTGGCTCTGGCTACGTGTCCATAAATTTTTATGAAAGTCAACAAGCTCCGCGTCAGTGAAAACGCAACCTTAGTCTGATCGGAGAAACCTTCCTTTTTCCGTCTTCTTATATTTTAGTCGTTCTTGTATTAAAGCTAATCTTTAAAAGCGAAATCGGACTCCTGTTTAAAATTAAACTTTAGCCTTATAAATCTTTTCCTAGTTCCGTCTAGCCTTGCACTACAACCATTACAACGGCTTCCATATTTATTGCGGCAGAATATTGGATGTGACTTTGTAGGGCTGTGATCCAGTAATTTTCAGGCATTTAGAATTTTTAACAAAAATTTATTTAGGTACCGTTTCTTCTAAGGCATCGGATCGGACTTACGATGGAATGGATGCAAGTTCAGACCCCACTAAGTACACTTTTTGGTAACTCGCACCAAACACAAGCATGTGATTTGTTTGGCGGCGTTAATAATAGCTCTAGTATTGTATGATCCATATTACTAATATTCAATACAATTATATTAAACCATTGTTTGTTTTAGATGCCATAGATAGACTATTCAAACGGTCGTGTACTAGGATAACAAAAACTTTTAAATATTACTATATATAATAAATAGTTTATAAAACAGATAAATAACTAAAATGATATATTTAAACACTCATTCAGAAATAAAATGAATACATATCTTATCACAACATACATAGTCGTAACACACTGACAATGCAATTCTTCAAATATTAAACAGTATAGTACTTTATCTTTATGTCGCAGTTTAGATGGACGTGACAACCCTAAGAATGAGAAACAATTCTGTTGTTAGACATAGAATGCATTCACTGGTTGTAAGTTAGAGACGGATGGACAGCCTCCGACAGGAAGTTGGATGTTGCTTCGCTGTTAGTTATACGTGCGATTTGTATCCTTGCCTTACGGAGTGAAGGAAATGTATGAACGTTTAGAGAGTAGCTAGCCTTAGGGTAATAGCGACAGTCTGTTTAAAATATCCTAAATAAATAAGTAACACAAGTAACGGTAACGTCTGAAATTTGTGAACAAAACTCTGGTCAATATCAATAAAGGTTAATTTAATTTGAACATGGATAGCTTGATAATGGCACGCCATCAAGACTTTAGACAATGTAAAAAAAAATAAGAATTTTCTTCGATTTCTCTAGGATCCCATCATCAGATCCTGATTTGATGATAATGGGACTACCTCGGGAGTAGCCTTTCGATTTCATTAAGGATTTTGATAATCGGTCCACAATTGACGGAGATGTCGAGTAACAAACATACAAAAAAAATACAGCCGAATAGATAACCTCCTCTTTTGTGTTTTTGAAGTCGGTTAAAAAACTAGCTGTACTATGCTTCGCTGTGGGGCATTTTGGTTCCATAAAGTAGCTAAAAACCATCTTACATCAACCTCGTGTCAAAATTTAAACTCAATCGGTGCAGAACCCTAGATGTTTGTCAAAAGATGGCTTTTGAAACTTTTTTCAAAATTCCTGGTTAAGGACGTATTAGATCTATTATATATCACGTAAATTAAAAAATTATACCAATTTCAAACTATTGTTTAGTGGTATATACTGGTTACTACTACTTGGTGGCTATACTGGTTAGTAAATAAAACACTTTTGACACAAAAAGGTCAGAAAATTCGTAAACAAGTCGCATTACAAATTTCTTAATCACTCTTTTCTTTAAATTAAGTCATAAACTAAATTCATATTTTTAAAATACAGCGGATTATAACTTTAAATTGTTTTATTTAACTTGAATTTTATGAAAAACACAATATTTGAAGTTTAAATTGAAATATATTTTTTTCCATAATTATGGTACATTAACAAATGTAGTAGGAAAGTAAAAAAGTACAGCACAATTTACGTCATTGAGCTCACAAATTTTAATTTAATTTTGTTCACACCAAGCTAATTTTGTTCATACCAAGCTCATAAGGTTCCTTTAACTTTAACCCACAAAGCAAACTAAATAATACAGTGTAAACAAGCTCCAGTACCGTGGCTAATCACTTTCGCCAATTGCATTTAATATTTGCTCATACAGCGCCCTCTGTTCGCGAAATAACCGAGTTTCTAGCAGTGCAAATACAATTTACCAAGCACCCCACGCTCAACCCAAGCCAATTACCAACCATACAATAAGGCTAATTGAAAATTGTATACTATGCTTTTAAAAACATCTGAGGTGAACATAAAGCTATATAGTTTTCCCTTGTTTTATAATTAAAAACGTTTACTGGAAAATCTTTACTCTATTTTTTAAAACAACAAAAAAATAGTTAGAAGGCCTTTAAAGAAATAATTTAGATGCTCTAAAAAAATTATGTTCGGTTTTGACCTTTAAAAATATTAATTTGGTAGGCATGTTTTAAGTGAGAATGCCAACCTTGTTTAAATTAAAATAAGTCCCTAAATAGGGATACACGGAAGGGAGCCAGCTACTTATTCTCAAGGATATTGTAAACAAAATATCTAAAATGTTTTTGAATTAAATAAAGTCCAAAAATGATAAATTTTACATTTACTGATTTTGCTCATTGACTATCGATCTTTGGTTTTCATTTGATAAATCTGATATTTAATGAACATAGCTTTCAGAGTACAAGTTCCCTACCTTAAAATACAATTTATGCGAAATAAGCAATAAAGTCTTAAAAAAAAAAGAATACAGAGGGGAATAGCGAGATCAATGAATGAGCCACAGGTATAGGCTGTCCCTTTCTATTTTTTTCTTGACAGTCTTTATAAGAATAAATCAGAAGTTGCAGATATTTAGGACAATTTATTGCAGAAGATTTCATAACCATATCTTAGAGAGTCAATAAATGAATCATTTGTGACTACAGTACATAACTACAGAAAATTTATTAGGAAAATCCAGTGCTCTCATATCGCTTGTTACATATATTCCCTTTAATAAATAAAAAGAAAAGTAAACAATAACGATTATTTATATAATTAAAGCATAAAATTGAACAAATTAATAACTAAATGGCCAATTTTTAATCTCATAAAATATTTCGAGCACTTTATATGAAATAATAAGCGGTTCTGTTTTGTGGCAGTTTTGCGGTTGACGTTCCGAGGTAATGGCTATTAAAATGTCGGTTCCTTAAATAATCCACGCCTTTTATAGCACTTTATTGAAAAATTCAATTATATTATTAACTTTTTTATGGTATAAGGGGGCAAACGAGCAGACGGGTCACTTGATGGTAAGCAACGTCCGCCGCCCATGGACACCTGCAACTCAAAAGTCACAAGTGTGTTGCCGCCCTTGGAGTCCCTCTCGCTCTCGTTCGAACTCAGCAGAAGGGGGGATTTGGGCTCCGGTTACCTCACTCACTCAGTGAAAAGCAACGAAAGAATTGCTTAACACCGGATTTCTGCAATTTTTTCTGCGTCTCTCAAAGGGAATATATTTTCCGTGTTTTTTACAACATTTTACAGTGATGCTCCTCTTCCTTCCCAGATAAATGGGCTATCCAAGACTAAAAAAGAATAAAATAATATTAAATAATATAATATATCTCACACATCTCACATACGACAGTCTGATTCCAAACTAGGCAGAGCCTGTGCTATGGTAACCAGACTGCTGATACACACTTATATTTTTATATATTTTTTAAATACATACATATTATAGACTAGCTGACCCTGCAAACGTTGTTTTGCTATTTACATTATTTAAAAAAAAAAATTGAATTATTTTGTTGAATTTCTTAAATTCCGTTCTTAGCTGACCTCTACTCGGTGAAAAGAATATTCCTACCAAATTTCAAGTCTTTTCACTAATGGTCCTAGATATATCGTGATGAGTGACTATATACGTGGAAATCTCTTATATATATATAAATAAATCACACCCAGACACAGAACAAATGATGAATTCATTTCGAACCTGTAGTTGCTGAGATTAGCACGTTCATTCAAACAAACAAACTCTTCAGCTTCGGTCGCGCCGACTCGCGGCGACTTGACACGAGTAAATCGTATAGAACTAAACGGCTCAGTGCAGCGTGCCCGCGACTGATGACAAGTGGTCGCGAGACTTGCAGCGGCCAGTCGCCAGAGGTGGATTGCGACGTCGGAGCGCAACTTTTTTGTTATCGTAACCGCCTGTAAATCTCCTCCTTCTTCTAAATCTTTTGATGGCATGAAGCTGTAAAACAGTTTTTTTCAACAATAAAAGTTCTGATACTACATATATCCATTTCCGCTCTAAGTACTGTTCTTCACGAAACTAAACAATAATACTTATTATATTTGAAGTAACTGACCCCAAATAGATAACTAGATTATAAATTGCCATGGATCGATCGCAAGTACTCGTTATCACGCTGCACGAAGCGTAGTTGGAAATCGTTGCGAGTCGGCGCGACCGAAGTCGTGCGACATCGCTGACACGCCGCAGGGACCCTTACGTTAGGCTCGCATGCCTCCTCCATGCAACCTCTAAACTTGTAACTACGAATATACCAAAAATTACACTCTCAAAAATAGTTCCTCTCCACCTTCTCTGTTTTTTTAATTCACACACTTGATGAACGATATAGAAAACTTTTAAGCGAACGAAACTTGAAGAAAGTTGAAGAAAGAGAAGCTATGAATATGTATGAAGGAATGTTTGGTTTGAAGTTCAAACTCCAAGACTAATTAAAAACAATGTATATAAAACAAATTGAAAAGGAAAACATTTAAACAAATAGTATGTTACTTTTTGTTGAAAGTAGTTTTATTTCTTTTGTGTACAATATTAACATGAATAAGATTATAAATATTTTCTTTTATAGTACTTATTTTACATAAACGTATCTAAGTTTCTAAAAGGCACATGGCAACGCATTACCGGGACCTGATAATGTTGATCTCGGTGTCACTAATGCATTGCCAACTCTTATCCTACTTTCTCTGAGTGTACTTATATACATACACTCACAATTTTAAATGTATATACGCATGCATGAGTGTAGACAGTAGACTACTGAGAAAATAATTCAAGGAAAGAAATGGATACTGATTGATGAGCGAGCATATGGCAAAGCGAGGCAATTCACCGTGCAGACCGAGCCAATGTTTCTTTGCTTAAACAGCAACAGGTATATTCAACATATTATAAAGTTTTACAAAATTACCTAGGTAATTTAGATGAAACTAGATAGTTTACCTTGTAAGTTAATACAAAACTACTTTTAGGTAAACAGGTAAGTCAACTCCTCATCAAGATTTACCTACAGTTTAAACAATTTAGGTATTTAGGTACTGTATATATAAGCTCTATGTAGACCCTAACAGGATGTATGGCCAACAGGATACTCGCACGAGACACAACTTCCGCGTCGCGACTTACGCGTCCCCGACGTTCTGCGACCATTGCGGCTCGCTGCTGTACGGCCTGTTACACCAAGGCCTCAAGTGTCAAGGTACCTGCGGCCACGGAACCACTAACGCTTGGATATGCTTTGTGTTCTAGAACTCTCTTACAGATCCGTGATGGTGCTTTCTGCTAATGCTTTTTTACTTATCGTAGATCTCTCTGTAGGTTCTCCAGGGTCGTATTAATCTTTTTACTGTGCTTTATTAATATACTCTTTGTCCTTGCAAAGGCGGCCTACGCTCCCCACAAATGGAACACATGGACGTTCCTTGCTCCAACTTTTTGTGACCACTGCGGTACTTTACTCCATGGTCTTGCGCACCAGGGATTTAAATGTGGAGGTATAATATAGAACTGTCTTAAGTATGAAACTAACAAGAGGAAATTAGTTCCTGGATAGCGAATGCTTTAACACCAGACGATATGTATGCAATTGCAACTAAAAGAATATGTGTTGTCAGCACAGAAGGTTCCACGTCCACGGTATAAACACCTCTTTAGACGAAGAGACAAAGATATTTCCTATGCACGTGTCTGGTTCGTGAGTAAATGTGTAATTAAAAACAGTCTCAAGTTGAAGACGAGTCCCCATAGGTGCGCCTGACGATATTAAACTCGCTTCTGTTCATTTAACTTGTTTATTTGTCTGTCTGTTCTTTGTGTGTGTTCTCTGTTGCTAAGTTTGTTTGCTAAATGTGAGAGCACGTCTTTAAAATTGCACGTCTTATAGTGTTAATGCGAACCGAATATTAACAATGCATGTTTTAAGGTACAGTATTAAACCATGGAGGCTTTATTTGCGTCAATGTAATAGTCGATACTACCAAATCCAGAGATTATTAGAGTAGTAACCTATAAACAGTTATATACTGTCTCCATTGTTACAAGAGACAACATGTATGAAAGTTAAAGGGTTTTATCTAGCGCGGGAGACAAGCTTAAACGAATAACATTATTTTTACTCATGTTTGTCATTCAACTAGACTGAGTTTCTGTGCCAATTAACTCTGTAAATTTGTGTGTGAAGTAAATATTAAGATGTACACAAAAATTATGATCAAACATAAGAAGTTACACGCTTCACGCGTTTCCCTTCCGTGGCCTTATTTTATTAATTGCTGACGGTTGTATTACCTTCATAATATAATCATTATTCTAAGATATTAATGTGTTTCCAGCTAACTCTGTTTTCGGTTACATCGCTGTTTCAGCTTGTTCTCTATGTTTAGATTTATAACCCTTTTATATTTTTTAAATATTGCATGACCTTGTGTTACCTTGTTTTGCATGTATTCAGTATGTTTTTTTTCGATTTTGAGGTTACAAATTGGACTAAAATTTGTCTTACTCATACAGTATTTTTCCGAAAAATAATAAATAGATAAAAAGCTTTTATAATATATTTTTTTCAAAGATGCCGAACATAGATTTGTAGTAATTAAATTAATGTGTAAAGTACAGTCAACTATATATATATATATTTTTGTTAGTTTGTAATTATAGAAAAAGAAAAGTTATTTTATTAACAACTCTATCCATCTGAGGAAATTACAACATGTGTTACCATCGCGAAACATCAAATTCGAAAGCTGTTTATCACATTAAAATATATAATAAAATACGCCTTTAATGGTATGATATAATTTAGATTAAAGATACGCTAGATTAGTTTCATAGTTCCATTAGCTATGGCACGTGACGAGAGAGGAATCATCACAGTTCTTTGTCACGTGCGTCTTACCAACTTTTTCTCGGGTGTTAAACAAAAACAATTAGTTAGCTAAGACCCAATATAGCAATAGACACCGCCGATAATTTTGTGTTTAGAATAATGAGTATGAAACCAATACTCCTTGTTAAACTATAGACTTACCGATAGCGTGTTACCATGAATAAGATGAAAATTTTTGGACATTGGTGCTAATTCTGTTGTTCGAAAACTCTCTAAACTAAACTAAAAATCACTAAAAAATTGTTTAGTCCTGTCAAATAACGTTTGGTATTCTGAAAATGTAATACTTGATAGGACTAAACTAATTTTTAGTGATTTTTAGTTTAGTTTAGAGATTTTTTGAACAACAGAATTAGTACCATTGTATTACTTAATGAGACATTTTTTTCTTTAATTTGTAACTATCGATATAAAATAAGCAGACGGTCTATAAACTAAATAAGTCAACTAATAGTTTTTTTTTACTAAAGCATGAAATTTATATGGTCAGCAAGTAATATTGTTTAATTAAACCCAATATTTTTTATGAATTATAAATTTATAATTCTTGTATTCGTTTATCTCACATCTCAAAGTTCTTGTTCTTGTTTCCAAACTCACCTTCAAAAGTATATACTAACAATAAAAGGTAAGTAAGTAAGTATTTATTAACAATAAAATAGCTATTAATTCTTTTCACTAAACACAACTGTTTGGTTTAGAATTAGAATTAACGCTTCAATATTGAAACTTTTAATATATTATGATGAATTGGCATTAGCTGTATTCACAGGTTTATTAAAATCTCGGATAACAACCTGGTCTAAATATAAGACAAAAGGGTAGTTGTCCTTCATTTTCAATTTAATGATTTTATGTTTTGTATCTTCAAATCAACGAAAAAGTAAATGATTTTACAATAAATAGGGATGACGCCACGCTTCAGTATTTCATACAAAAATATACCGTCACTATCGTTTTGACTTGTTTTAAAAGATAATGATTTGAGTTGACACTAATCTTCTAAATTTTAAGGCATGATGCTCACATTCACAATATAATTAATTCCTCAACACATATGAATTTTCCTGCTATATATGTTTTTATGTGTCATAATTTAATTGTTTCAAAGGATCATTCTTTTTCTTTTCTACGGTTTTCCAGATGTTTTAACTGCTTTATAAAATGTCAGTAATTTCTATTTATTATGTACATTAGTGTAAGTAGTTGACATACGCAACGTGTTACAGAAAGGTGTTTATGTATTTTAAAATTGTGTTGTATGCAGACTACAGTGGATAAATAGTTTGAATAGCCGCAAATAAGTGTGCGACTCGCCTGATGGTAAGGATAAGCGCTTACCGTAGTTATGGACGCTTACAATTCCTCGGAACTATAAATATAAACCCCATGATGAAAATTTAAATAAGAACTCATTTTACTTCATTTTTATGTCTAAGCAATATATTTTCTTATTTTTTAAGTTATTTTAAATGATTGTGTAGATATATTTATTTAATTTCGAATATTCTATCAACAACCTTAGTATTTATTAAAATGTAAAAAAAAAGTTTAGTTTTTCATTTTCAATATAAGTTTTCTGTATTAAAAAGAAAACGATTTTCCCAAGGCTGTTAGCGATTCACGTTAGTCACGTAGTAGCCTATATAACTATATAACCCCTAAAATATAACACCTTTCTGTAACTCATTTTAATATAAAAACCTGCTGTATCAGCAATAGGTGAAGACTAAAATACTATTGTTCATAATACATTACTCATAATGTATAAATGTTTTATTAATATGTTCATATAAATACAGCATGCGACATGAACGTGCACAAGCGGTGCGAGGAGTCGGTACCGAACCTGTGCGGCTGCGACCACACCGAGCGGCGCGGACGCATTCAGCTCGTCGTTTCTAATAAGGGGAATAAGCTCACTGTTGAAGGTAATGAAAACCCTTTATTATTATTTTATATTTATATACTTTATTAATATTTATTATTATTATGTGTTAATAAAGCCTTAAAAGGGCTTACGTTGATATGACATATCTGGGAATTAAACCAAATACCTAGGGTGTAACCGTGTAGGGGTAAACGTAGGGGGTCAACCGGGCACTTGGAATTAGATGGAAACAATTGGGAATAAATGTAAGGAAAGGTAGATAAGAAGGGGCGAAAATTATAAGAAAGGGATTATTTATGTTATTTACGGGTCGATTGGTAAATGGGGGCATTAGCTGAAGCTTATCAGGCTTGCGTACCTGCTACTCAACTTGTGCCGGATGGCTATAGCCGGAAAGTTAACCGGTTAGTACCTATTACATTAACTATAATATCAACCTCACACATCCCACACACAACCGTTCGATCTCTAACCAGGCGCAGCCAGACCACCGACAAACACACCCACATACTTCCAAACACACATACCAAACACAAACTACCTAAACCTAGACAGTATAAATTATTTTGCTCATCACAAAATTACTTGTCCCGGTTGGGAATCGAACCCACGACCCACCACACCTAAATTCTATCTGAAGAAATCACTTAAATGATTTACTGAATGTGTTCGCTCGATCTGCAGTAAAGCAGGGTCGCAATTTGATACCGATGGACCCCAACGGTCTGTCCGATCCCTACGTGAAGATGAAGCTGATCCCGGACTCGGATAACGTTAAGAAAAAAACCAAGACGATCCGAAGCACGCTCAACCCCGTATGGAACGAGACTTTGACCTTCGACCTGAAACCCGAGGATAAAGACCGGAGACTCTTGATCGAGGTAATATTTACAAACGTTTTAAGGTATTATTTATAAAAGAGGTGGCAAACGGCAACGCGTTTGTGACTCCTGAGTTGCAAAACGTTCATGGGCGGCGATGGTCACTTTCCGTCAGGCCCAGGTCCCCTGACTATGTGCTCGTCTGCCCACTCTAACATTAAAAAAAAAATGAGCAGACGGGTCACCTAAGAAAACCTGAAATTCAAGAGACGTGGACTTTGGCGTCCTGTGAGTAGTTCTCTACCAATCTCAAATTTAACAAGAGAATTATTTAATATTTGTTTTCTCCGGTCGAGTCGAGTCGGTTCGGAAGCATGACTATCCCACGGTCAAATGCAAATAGTTATTCAAAAATCCTTTCTAGAAACCAAAAACAAGGTTTTGTAAACACAAAAATATAGTTAGCCCACATGATTTTAATCCAAATTAAGTCTGGTCATGGACTCACGGATATTTGTGCTAATTACTCGTATTCAATTCCTCATTAGCTGTATTCATGTTCATAGTAGTAGATAGTGTTCCATATGCTATTTGTGAGTCCACCATACAAATAACTTCTTGTTTATTTCAGTTTCGAACCAAATCTTCAATGCAAATGAAACAACGGTCGTATAATAACGTATTGTCCCCGGGCGACTCTCTCTCACGAATTGAAATATCCCTTTTCATTTGCATATGTATGTTTATTTATTTCTCGTCGTCGTTATTTTTGTATTCAGTTGTCCATGTATTTCGCAAACAAATTTAAAAGCTGTAAAAAGCATATCTATATGTAATACATAGACAATATATATTTTTGAAGATTTTTGTTTAAGAATTCACAAAGAGGTTTGTAAATTATCCCTCATTATGAAATGGTTGTCATGGTTACGGATGGCTAAAGAATATTATAGACATGTCCTAAATCCCGGGATATATAATTAGGATTTTGTTTGAGATTTACAAACTACGTTTAGTCCTAATGACTGTCCCAAGTCGCCCACCTGTAGCTTAGAATAATCTTTAATATCGCGACTTGAAATAGAAAATAATAAATTTATACTTATCAAAAAATTAACCTTGTAAGGAATTGAGGTTACAAAAGTTAAAGTATAAGAAGATATTGAAACACTTACTTTTAACTATAATTCCGTTCCAGACGATTTTTTCGAATGGACGATTTTACAAATTTATACTTAGTTGCCTAAGCAGTAGAGTTGTTTTCAATTCCAGCAAAGAAGCTCGGTTTATTACAATCCAAGGCTTGATGACTTTAATATCAGTGTATTCATGCTATTGATTTACAGAAACTGTTGGTGTAATTTAACCAATCAACATATTTACCTTTCTACCCTTACAGATATGGGATTGGGATCGCACCTCTCGCAACGATTTCATGGGCTCTCTTTCTTTCGGCATCTCCGAGCTCTTGAAAGCCCCCGCTGAAGGCTGGTTTAAACTCCTGACCCAAGAAGAAGGGGAGTTTTACAACGTGCCAGTGCCTGAGGAAGGCACAGATCTTGCTCAGCTAAAGAACCAAATGAGAGCCACTAGCGTTGCGGCTCGGCGTCCACCGCCTCCGCCTGATAGAGAGGTGCCCCATAACATGGCCGCTGCTGACGTCATTAGAGCGTCTGACTTCAACTTTGTGATGGTCCTTGGCAAAGGTTCCTTTGGCAAGGTACGTCAAATTTTTTCTGAAGCCCTCAATGTTATTAAAATGCAAAATTCTAAGGAATTCCAAATTAAATAAAAAGGGATATAGAAACACAGCAATCTTTTTGTGGCTATTGCGGTTTTGGCAGAACAGTTTAAGTAAATTAGTGATACTATACGTAATACTTATGCATAATTTCTCAACCACCTTAGTTTAAAGCCTTAAATTAAAGGTTTTCTTTATACTTTTGTGTAATAAAACCTAAACAGACATAATAATAAAGTACCTGTCTATGATCAGGTAATGCTAGCGGAACGCCGCGGTACCGACGAGTTGTATGCCATCAAGATCTTAAAGAAAGACATCATTATTCAGGACGATGACGTTGAATGTACTATGGTTGAAAAGCGCGTTCTCGCTCTTAGCAACAAACCACCGTTTTTGGTACAGCTGCACTCTTGCTTTCAGACTATGGTGAGAGATTTAAATTGAATTTTTAAGTACCCTAAACCAAAGATTGTAAGGTTGTTTTTGAAGGAAGCTGAATGCAGCTATATTCTATTCTTCTTTCCTTTTACTCTTTACTGTTTAATACTCCTATTTTATCTTTCGTTATATTGAACTGCTTACTAATAATACACGGATGTGTATTAAGAATACGGAATGTCACTACCCCCATTCATCCCGTGGGTGTCGTAAGAGCCGACTAAGGGCGCTAAACAACGCAGGATACCAGCACTGCAAAAAGAAGGAATACTTGAAACAAACCCTATACCAACCTGTCTGGCCAGCGTGGTATAGTAGGCCAACCTTCTTTCTAAGGAGAGGCCTATAACAGCAGTGGACTATTAAAGGCTGTTGATGTGATGTGTGATGATATTAAAGTCACTTTTGAAATTTTCATGAATTTCCTTGAGGAATAAAATGAAAATCTATATCTGACCTCTTTCTTAGTTTGTCAATATTTAAAATTGATTAATATAAGGCAAATACGAGACAGCTTTTGATCTTACAAATTTAGGTATAAAATGGTAAAATTTATTTGTCTCACTTCATAGGATCGTCTGTACTTTGTAATGGAGTACGTGAACGGCGGAGATCTGATGTTCCAGATCCAACAGTGTGGTAAATTCAAGGAACCTGTCGCAGTGTAAGTTATTTATTCCTCCTTATTAATTTGGTTACTTATGAAATATGGAACTTCCACCCTTCCTTATAAATCAAAATCATTGGAATTCCAGAGACAGTTAAAACTGCGTCGTTATCTGTTCCATTCTTCCATTCCTCATCGCACAAACTATTGTAAGATTTTCCGAAATCAATTCCGAAATCATTAGAAATTTAAGGCAAAGCTCAGTTGATAAGACAATATAGAAAATATTCCTCAGATGTCCTGCACTTTTTTCAAGGATTATATACGTATTTGTGCTAAACGATTTAAAATAAATGAAGATTAAACAATATACTGAAAAAAATTACAGATTCTACTCAGCAGAAATAGCCATTGGATTATTCTTTCTACATGCTCGCGGCATCGTATACCGTGACTTGAAGTTGGACAACGTACTCCTGGACCAGGACGGTCATATCAAGATAGCTGACTTCGGCATGTGCAAAGAGGGTATAACCGGTGACAAAACTACCAAGACCTTCTGCGGTACGCCAGATTATATTGCTCCAGAGATCATCTTATACCAGCCGTACGGAAAATCTGTTGACTGGTGGGCGTATGGAGTATTGTTGTATGAGATGTTGGTAGGCCAACCGCCATTTGATGGGGAAGATGAAGAAGAATTGTTTGCTGCTATCACTGATAATAGCGTGTCTTATCCGAAGACATTGAGTAAGGTTAGATTCAGATTGAATCTTTGATTGTTATAGCTTTGATATATACAAATTAATGTTAGTGTGTTATTGGGTTACAGTTCGATCACATACACACACATGACAACTCAAAACTACTCTGTTTTGGCTCAAATATATTTCAATTCTTTATATTGTTTTAGTAGACTTATAATGGTAAATCTTGGACTTGTAATGTAATCCAAGGTGACAGATTGTCGCCTGTGGAGTGTGTATTTAATCAAATTTGCTAAATCAGTCGAAGCTAGGGAACTAATAAAAACGTCCGTTGCAGGAGGCGAAGGACTCATGCAAGTCGTTCTTGACTAAGAACCCGGCGAAGCGTCTTGGCTGTGGTCCACGAGGAGAAGAGGACGTGCGCACCCATCCGTTCTTCCGGCGCATCGACTGGGCCAGGATTGAAGCTAGGGACGTGCAACCGCCATTCAAGCCTAAAATCGTGAGTAACTTGTTTATAGCACCTTTTAGGCACATTATATAGCCCTTGATTGTAAACTTTGACCATAACTTGTACAGTCAACTCTTTTTTTTTTTAATAATCTACCACAGTCACACAACGCCCTCATATCATAGCCATCTGGTCCCAAACTAAGCAGAGCTTATACTTTGGGTACTAGACAACTGAAATAAATACAGATAAACTTTTTTTTTGCAAATACATACATATTACACCCAGAAACACCCAGACCAATTCAAACATTAAGTATTCATGCACACAATAGTGATTTGAGCGGGAATCGAACCCGCGACCTTTGGCGTAGCAGTCCGTTACACAAACCATCTGGCCGTCGCCATTCTGCGTAAGACATTAGTAACTTCCCTTAATTAGTAAACCTTTAATTTTAGCGTCTGAGGTGTCGTTAAATTCGTCTTAATTGTGAGAGTGACACTGTTTTCTTATATAGATTATAAATAAGTAGAATGCCGGAAAAAATATTTTCTGCGAAATCTATCGGGTGCGATATGAACAGTTTCATGCCTGGTTTTCTAATATATATACAATTAATATATTTAAATATAATTTGGAACGAGCAATTCTAAAAAATATAAAACAAAATTAAGTTTGTGAATTTAAGTTTACAATGTATTGGTTTTTGTTTTGTCAAATAATTATAATCAACTTGGTCTATACATGCGTTATTATTGCGTTTTATATATTAACGGTGGTAAAACTTTTCAGAACGATTCTTGTTTTGTGGTAGAAGAATTTATTTCATTGTCATTTTGTTGTTGCAGAAACATCGCAAGGACGTGTCGAACTTCGACAAGCAGTTCACGCAGGAGAAGACGGAGCTGACGCCTACCGACAAGCTGTTCATGATGAACCTTGACCAAACTGAGTTCATGGGCTTCTCTTTCCTTAACCCTGAGTTCGTGCAGCACGTTTGAGCCGACAAGGTACCACAATTTAGAAATAGTTTAGCTTTGACTTAGAGACATAGACTAGGTTACTCTGCATTCGAAATGCGACCTTATTGGTACGAAATTTACAGTTCATTTTAGTGAGGGATTGAAGGTTACGGAAGGTACTTATGTTACGTATGTTACGTAACCACCTCGGTAAAAGTACTGAGTAAATTTCCCTTCTTTTTCCTTGTCCCTCCAACACAAAGGGAGGGATCCTCCGACCAGGCGAGGTGATCATGCCTGGCGGGGCGCGGCCCAACGGTTGATATCAGTAAAATAGATAGTAAGATGTATAGCATAGTAGTTCAAAATATTCAGAATTAGTTATAAATGTGTATCTTAGTTGTAGAAATATGTAGCTTAAGTAGAATAAGTAATCTGTAGAATGACTATAATGTATTATAAATGAAAAACTTTTGTTATGTAACTCAATAACCCTAAAGGAAATGAAATGGATAGAGTTGATAATAGGCTCCAAAGAACATTGGAGGTGCTAGGAGGCAGCCTGCGATGGCGGGTGACTGCAATAAAAAAAATGGTTGATTTTGGGAAATTGTATATAAGTGTAATCGGCGAGAGAAATCTTCATATCGCGATACAGGATTAGCAATGCTTATTCAGGAGTTACTCCGTAGTTCGGTGTGTCTTCGTTAGACGGCGCTGTACTATATTTTTGTTTCTTTGTATGTGGCGACTTCCATACTTCCATCCCTTCCATACTTGTATTGACTTATCAATACCACCGCTCATGACCACCTCCAATGCAAAAAACAATTGTGTGTTACCGCCCTTTCAGTGCGATTCATAGCGAGTTAAAACGAGGAGGTTTGGGTCTCTGGTAACCTCACTCACGCGGTGGAAAAGAACTGCTTAGCACCAGTTTTCTGTAAGGCCGTGGTATCATTACGGTTAGGCCATAAGTCTTCCCCCCCCCCCCCAGATTAACTGCTGCGGTAGGGGATAGAATGGCGGCCTGATCGCACCAAACATGTGATCGGGCCGCAACATTTAGTCATATGCTGATAGGCAAGAGGCTTCCACTGGGATAGTCCCTAGTTTGGTGCGGTGTCGATCTGGGGAGAACCTGAAATCACATGGCCCGGGTCATCCCTAGAACAGGGCGCCTAAGGCTGACCTGGTTTTTAGTGGAAACACCACATATTCCTGGCTCCTGTATCCCTAAGGAGCCGGAGATCCGAAGGGATTTTCCACCCCGTCACCAAAAAAAAAAGGCGATAACTCTCCCAGATCCTATCCCAGACATGGTGATAATAGACATGAAATGTATATGGAACAAATTTTGTGAACTGCCTACCTACCTACCTACTTATAATCAGCAACCGGACCTGTTAGATATCGACACAAGATCAAGTAATACGATCGCTGGTTCGCTGGTTTATTCTAGAAGGAAAGGAACGGCGCACTATAATATATACCTATTTAACAGGACCCGACATAGATACTTGTAAAATATACCTTAATTCCTTCTAATAAATGTTTATTTTGTTCCAGGGTTGAATATCTCGTCATTATCGAAGCTGTCTCAGTGGTGTGGCCCGTGAGGCCTCGGTACGGGCTCAGCCATTTCACTCCATCTATCGACTGTCTCTGTCACTCATACGACATCGGTCGTTCGCTATCTCACTCTCAACTGTTCATTGATTGTTGATTCTTGAGGGAATGCTGTCCTAGGCTCTTCAGAGGAACGTTTTGGAGGTTTAATAAATTGCTCATTCCCGTTGTTTTTACTACTCTTAATTTAAGTATACTTCACCATCCAGTACGACATGACTTGGTTCGTTAAGTTTTATATTCTATATTAACGTTTGAACGTTTTACTCATTAGACATTATTCATTTTAAAGCCGTGTCAATCTCATATGTCATTAAGCTCGGGAATAAAATTTGGTTAGTTACTCGAAATTGAATAAACTCGATAAGATAATTACCTACCTAAATAATATAGATGTACCTACTATTATGCCTAAAATTTAATATATTAAAATTTAGTCCTTAAAAAAAAAACGATAAGCTAATTATAATTTGGACCTTTACGTAGTAATAAAATAAAAAACATTATTTCGAGGTAGTAACTGGTTGGTGGTAAATAAAAAAAAAACAAAAATTATTTATCGTACGGTTAGTGGGATTTACATGACTTTAAACTCTTTGGTGGGATGAAATTGATCTCTTAGCTTCAAACAGTTTTTAAGTAAACAAAATTCGTTTCTTTAAGTAGTCTGCTTTATTTTGCTTTACATTTAGTTGTGTGTTTGCTACATATTTAGTTCTAAAATTAAATCTTGACAGTTTTACAACTGCAATAAATAATAGTCTATCTATTTTTAAATGTTATAAGGTATGAAAAAAAAAGATTTTTTATCTTTCTACTATCTTTAGCCTTGAGCTTCCTATTCTGAGCTTAATATAACATAAAATGAGCGAGCGTGTTCGAGCAGTTCGAGCATTAAAGCAATCACTTTTTATAAAAAATCCATAGGACCCTTCACTTAAAGATGCCAAGAGATTAATTTCATCCTACGACTCTTTATAATTTGGTTTAAGATGCAGATATCGCATTTTTTTTACATAGAGTAGTTTTAGTGAATCATACCTATGTAATAGTTAGCTAGAGATATTATTGCCCACTTTCTCTAACTACTTTCAATAGCAAGGGACAACATTACTTCACTTGGCTAACTAAACAAAACGTTGACGTGGTTTGACTTATATTTTTGGCAATAATTTATTTAACTGCAATAATATTAAAATGGGAATGTGATTCAACGAATTTCGCTAAGCAATATTAATTCGAATAATACTTATTGTTGAAATTGCTCTCTACGTATGTATATTATTAACATTGGCAATATTACGTTAACTTTTTTTTAAACAATGACATGAGAATCAGTTTCAGAATCTCAACACATCGGCAATCTCTATATCATGATCTTGGGGCCACTCGATAATATTAAATAAATGTTATTCGACCATGCAGTTTTAAAAACTTTCTGTCGAAATATTTTCTATTGTATGTGAGAATAGTTGAAGCCTGTATTCGCTTGCCAATTTTGACAGATTGTGTCAAACTGCGTGGTGGATGTTCTCGTTGATTTTCACGTTTTTATTACATATCAGTGTTGTTTATATTGTAAATACTGTCGTGTCGTGTCGTGTGGGTGGCAATATGTTTAAGTGTTTTAAAATGTCCTGCGGGAATTTGAAAATTTTATATTTAGCTTATGTCATAATCGGAGTGAATCTTTCCACGATACATCTATATTATTTTACTCATAGCCTACAAAAGTAGGTTACTTTACAATGTAATTATTATTATTACACCATGTAATTATTGGTATAAAAGTGGTAATGAATACTTAAAGTTTATGTCGTCATTAAGAAGGTTAGTTATGACGTAAGCTAAATATGTAACAGAATTATATCTACAATATTATATATATATATAGCTCATTATTATTTAAATCTCTACTAGGTTAGTCAATACTGGTTTATTGTTGACTTGATATTTTTAAGATATCAAAACTGTTTTTGCCCGAGACTATCATTAGATATTTTTATTGTTTATGGTAACACGTTATATGTTTTAGAGGTTTTCACAGTAATGTGCATTTTGTGATGGATGATCTAATTGTGTTGTATGAGCTTAACTGTTAGCTTGTATGTGTGACTGTGTTTATGACTGCTCACTTGTATGCATGTGTGTATGCGTGATTTCCTTTCAATGTCATTTTGTATCGATATTATTCGTTGTCATTTCTGAAAAGTTCGTGAATTATAATACACACACATTTCGATAATCGTCCTTATTGGTACTTGCTGAAATTTTAAAATCACTCAAATTAGTTATCTTTGCCCTCCGTGTATAGTGCAGTGTTGACACCAAACAGAATTAATTACTCTGTGGTTCAAAAATATGGCGTAAAGTCGTCTTACTTTGTCCCAACTCAGGTAAAACCTTTTTTTCTGTATATCGAACTTGTAATACCGATACAAATGACAACAGCTGTCAGCTGTTAATTAATCGTCTACTAAATAGCCTTACTAACTTAATTAATATAATCGCTAATAAAATACATTTAAAAATCGTATATATATCTTGCTAGATTAATAAATGTGGATTTAAAATATAAAAGGAAAGCATTTGATTCTAAATTGAAATGTAATAAAATGACATTTAGATGTTTTTATGTTATTTTTAGCTTAATATTAATTATTATCTTTCAATAGATTTCTTATTGCCGCCAATTTCCAAGGTGGCGTTGCTAAACCGTGTATTTAGACATTATAGTTTTTTTAAGTATTTTTATAGTTGTAAGTATAATTTAAGGATGTTGGCTTATTTTTGCTCTGTTGTTTTCTTTTTTAGAAATATTTTAAAATAGTATACGATGTATTTGTTTTATATAATAATCGAGAAATTATGAACTATATGATATTTTCAAACTTATTTTTAAGTGTGCAATACTCACTTTTTTATATTTGAATATTATTTTTGTTTTCTTAAAACTATTATTCTCTTGTATGTGAAAACAAGCCAGCATCGTAGGTTAACATCAGCTGGAGCGGGAGTCAACGTAGCGGGCGCACACGCGCATCCCACCCCCTCCCTCTCTACACACGTGTAGAGATACCCAACCCAAGTTCCAGAGACGCACAGAGATGTGTCCACCGAAGTACCCAACCCTATCTATTCTCTCAATACTCAGAGACAATCAGAAATACTCATTCATCTCTGTGCGAACACATCCCCATCTCTGCATTACTCACACTCTTATAAAGTGGAATGCTCGCCATTCGTTTGTATCTGTTATAAACACTTTGTTTACCATTTTAAAATTAGGTTTATAATACAAAAGTAACGCGAAGATGACATATAATTATGTAGTAATAATTTTATTATTATATATAGCAAATATTTACAACAAAATTTGTCTAATATATATATATATATATATATATATATATATATATATATATATATATATATATCTACAAGTGTTTATAATATTATACAAAAGTAATCCTGCCTACCTACAGGTTCTTTAAAGTCAGAATTAAACTGCCCCAACTATTTCCTTTAAATTTGAAATATTTAAGAATCTAAAAAATATATACCTAAGATAAACAAAAATTACTTTATAAAAGCACCTTTGGCAAAGTAATTATAATAAGTGTTGTATGTGTTGCACTAGCTTTTAAATAAACGTTTTACGGATTTCCAATAACGTAGGAAAAGGAGAATTTAACATTGATTCAGATAATTGAAAAAAAGACGTTGTCTTTGATCACAGTACCTTGCAACGTTTATCTGTCAAATTGATGCGTGTTCTTACTACCAAAGAGAAGTAGAATTTAATATACTTTTTTTTTAAATTGCTGCACTAGGAATTGCAAACAAGTAACGGTCACAATGTACACCTTAAACTCAAGACATCTGTCTTGTCTTCACATTCCACAAACAGATGACCTATAACACTCTGTGTGGCATACAATTTGCCAAAATAACTGTGCATGAGCCCCTTTTTCAAAAGTTAAAATGATAATATTTACAAGTTAAAAGCGCCTATACGCCAATCACTTTTTTATTAATTACCGAATTTGTTTGCAAATTTTACACGTCAAAGAAAGAAGGTATATTAGTTTCTAAAAATATTAAAGTATAGTATCACACAAATTGACGATAAATTATGTTGTTTAGAAGATCGCTAACACCAAAGCAAATATGTATATTATTATGGTTATTATAACATATACTCGTAATTATTTATTAACTTCTAATTAGTGTCTGCTAGCTTATGCCTTCACACCCTATTTAACTCTGACTTGGTCAATAATAGATTTAGTAATGTATTGAAAAGTTTAAAAAACTTTTAGCTATTTATTTATATGTAACCGTTAATATAAGATCTCACTTGTAAATAAGGCATAGTCGCTATGTTTTAAGCTTCCACGAACGTTATTTGCTTAGACACGACATTTCAAAGTGAGATTATGGCATTGCGTGAGTGGATTTACCTTCTGGTCATACTCTATAAGTTCTTTCCACAAATCCCGATTGCAAATTAATATTGACTTATATTAAAAAAAAACGCAAATTTTCTAACAAGCTTGCTTTGTATGCTTTATTACTTAATTTTGTGCAGTGGCAACACAAAGTATTATTTTTAAAACCGTTAATTTAAATGATTTGCTGTTCCATTGATAGTTAAGAAACTACTAAATTGGGTTTAAGAATCGACTCACCGAGTCTATCATGAAAGTATGTTTAGTATTAAATAGTTATTGTATGTGTTCAGTGAGAATTAGTTATAAATATCTTGATATTATTTAGCATAGACTATGATATCGTTAAGAGTTAGGTTGTTCTTCCTGACAATTTTCTACCCTTTTTAAGTAATTTTAAATGTTTGCAAGTTGCAACGGGGGTATTGAGAAAATGCATAGACATTATATGTAGATATGGGTTTCGTCGCAAGCGTCTTGGCTGTGCATTAATTTAGAAAAAAAAGCTCTGGTCCAGCTTGGATCATTTTTTATTTAAAAACTATGATAAGCAGTCGCTTGTGGTCGGAGGTTATGTTAAAAGTTGACTTCATAAAATTATGCATTTTAATGAAGATATTAATGTTTTAGTGTTTGTTTTAATGTCATAAATAGGCCTAACATCACCTTTCTTTAGTATAAGCCCGTAGTGGATACAGGTCTTTTGAAATATTTTACTAATGAATATTCGAATGATTAAAGTTTTACAATGACGATGTCGCTAATTGCACCATCACCTGTGCCAAAAATATGTAAATATTTTTCCATAATATTTAGTATTCTATTGAATATTGTTACCGAACATTATATTTTATCACCTTATCTTATCTTATAACCTATATTTTGTTAGTCCTTAATTAATTAGTGGGTATCCAGTATCTATAAAAAGAACTAAGAAGAAAGTGCATTAAATAAACCTCGAGTCATTTATAATTCTGACATGGATTAAAAAAAAATACTGTAAGTCACTAATTAACTAAAGAAAATTGTCACTTCAAATTATTAATGCATATATATTGTATAAATTATGCACGTTCTCTTAACTTATATGAAATCTTGCTTTTTTCTGATTCCATTAGTATTAAACTTATGAAAAGGCGTTGTTTAAAGCTGTATCTTGCTAAAAGAGTGCGGTAATAATAGTCTGCCCAAAATGTTAATAATCAAATATCGCAATTATAACAGGGACTATTTATAATACATATATAAAATGCTTCATGAACGGGGATTTAAGAAATCGTGTATTATTTGGGCGGCACTCGTAAGCCTTCTGACACACATTTGGTAACATACCACCTTACTAATATTTTCTGATGGCAAGCTTTGAACAACGCTGTTGAACTCAAGTTTGTCGATATCATATTTAATTTACCTAATTACTAAACCATTTTTGTCGTTGACAACACCGCGTCTACTTCTGTGATGTGTATCATCCTTTCACAAACGGTAATGAAGAGTTGCTTAGGCTTAATAACTACATTAAGTGATTATTGAATAAGAATTATAATAATTAGAACTGTCATCAAATCTTTTATTCATTTATCGAGGAACCAATGTGCCAAAAATATTATTTTCCAATATCTTGTTCTTTACAACCAATTAAAAAGAATAGCTAAGCAACTCTTCAAACTTTTATCGGTCTATTCAAAATGGCGCCAAATAGCTATTGGCTATGATTATATCAAAAGCGCTCGAATTAAATTAAAAAACAACATGTTTAAAACGACCTATTCAATATACACTTCCAATTTTCCGTTCTCGTCGCGTCTCACTAGAAATAATTAATAATTATTAAAATTTTGAATCTGAACCAATTTGTATGATCGCATGTCGACGCCTTCACCGATATCACTTGTGTTCGTCAGTATGCGATCGTGGTTAATAAGATTTTATTGCATATTCTATTATTAATATCGATAGCGTAGTAACAGTATTTCGATTTGTAGTATTAAATTTGTCATTTTCAAGGATTTTTGGGGCGTGTAGGCAATGTAAGCATGTGCTAGCGAGTATTTTACTCGATAGATCTGTACATGGGATCTCTGTTTGTATGGATTCTCTCGAAAGTGAATGTCGATTGTACTCAACAATATAAATTTCTAATCCATTAGATTTTATCTGTGTTTTATTTGAATATTCCTCATAAAATGAATATATGAAGATGGAGACAGATTTTTTTTTAAATATAGGTGCATTTAGTAAAATCATTTATTGAATTTGATGACATTGGCAGACCTGAATAAATAAATATTGTTTGTATAGTATTCAATTTTGTATTCTAACCCCAAGAAACTATAGTAATTGTCATATTTGAATTTAAGCCCTTCAAGTAGATAATAATAAACAAAGTTACACTCAAGTCATTCAAGTTAATTATCTCTGAATTAAGTTTGGTGAAAGTTATCTTTTTAAAATTAAAAGGCGTTTCAGTATTGGGTTAAAACTACAATTTGATCTCCTTTTCTCCCCTCATGACTTGGCTCAGCATCTGGTTGCAGAGAGCTGCGTAGGGATTTAATTCCACAACCTGAAATAAAGATACCATATAACTATGAGAGCGATCAAAGGGATGGATAGAAGAGAATGATGGAAGAATGAAGGAAATAATTATGATTATATATATAGCATACTAGATTAATGAACCTAATTCCGCTGGGAAGGGACTATGGGCGATTGTAACCTACTACTTTATTACCTACGCCTCGATTTAAGAGTGCGGTTTTGCCGATTCCTGTGCTTCAAATCCTACGAGGTAAATATAAAACTGTGTTGTGTCTACAATTAAAACAATTGGTATACGTATTGCTATACGCCGCGCCGTTTTAATAAAAGTTAAGCGTTTCTCTTTTAGTATTATAAAGTACCTTTGGAATAGTTTTGACACAAATATCAATAATCATAAAATGATTTGAATAAGACTGTACTAAATTTCTAAAATGAAAGCCGATTACAATTTTGAAGCTTTGTTTACCTTATAATCTCAGAGCAATGTTAAACGTAGTGTTTGTATACTCTTTAGAGCATTGGTTTCCGATTTAAAATTACGTGGTCGATGTAGTTTGGGTGTGGGAGTAACTACACGGCGTAAAACCCGACTGGAACTAATGTCAATTGCTATCGAGGAGCAACTTGTTTCAACGATCAGAAACTCCCCATGCTTTGCTTTGCAGTGTAATGAATCAGCTGACATTTCCAATTGTTCTCAGTTGCTTGTATTTGTCCGATTTTTAGACGACGACAACATAATCAAAGAAGAATTATTGATTACCCGAGAACTGGAAATAACATTCAAAGGTATCGAAGTCATCAACATAATATCGGAATATTTCCGAAAACATAATATTAACTGGGAGAAACTCGTTGGTTTCTGTACAGATGGTGCTCCAGCGATATTGGATTCACGCTCCGGTCTGGCGACGGTAGTAAAACAGAATAATTATAAGGCTATAACAATGCACTGTACCATACACCGTCAAGCGTTAGCTTCAAAAACTTCCTCCGTCTTAAGAAAACAATAGAATATAATAGAACAATAGAACCAGCCATAAAATTGATAAATATTATCAAAAGCAGCGCCTTAAATATACGCCTATGTAAAAAACTATCCACTGAAATGGACTCAAACCATGAGGCACTTCTCTTTCACACAGAAGTTCGTGGGCTGTCGAAAGGTAATATGTTGGGCAGATTGTACTAACTCAGGTCAGAGGTTGAGATTTTTCTAGGTGACAAAAAAATAAATGAGTTGCAGGAGCAGTTTTCTAATCCAACATCTCAGATGAAACTTATCTTGTTGATATTTTCACACATTTAAATACATTTAACTTAAAATATTGTAAGGTTCCGGCAACAGTTAGAAGACGTTGCAAATGTATTTATCTTTGAACTTCGCGCCTTCATTTTCAAACTTCAGTTTTGGTTAGACAAAATTAGAGAAAATAATTATTCTGTGTTCGCTACATTAAAAGCACTTGTGCAGAAAGTATAACGCTAACGGGGAAAACATAAAAGAAAATCTTCAAAGTCGTCTCCAAATGTTGATGAATGAATTCGGTCGTAACTTCCCAGAATATGTGGAAACAGAAGCCAAAGTTGATCATAAACTGATTCCTAACTCTTTTAACACGGATGCTAGTGAAGTTACAGAAGAAATCCGGAAAGAACTGATTAAATTTCAAAATGATCGAAACTGCAAGGACGCTTTTGAATCTGAAACACTTGAGAAGTTGCTTGACTTGAGAATTGCCTTTTTACACCAAGTAAAAAGGCAATTTCATACACCAAAATGATTTATGATTTTCTCAATAACTTTCAAGGTTTTCTGCTTTGTTGGTAATTATAAACAAGACCAGAAACCGATTGAAAATAAGTGATGATTTGCGTGTAGCTTTGTGCAATAATATTAGTCTTAGCATTGCAGAAGATGCAAGCACAAAAAGCACAATGATTCAAAAGGGGAATGCCCATTTTCGGCCATGAAATGCACAACAATTTGCTTTTTTTAGAAAAAAACATCTTATTTTCTGTTTATTAATTGGGGTATTCATTTATCCTGACAGGTCTGCAACATTTAAACAGAAAATAAAAGTACCGAAAAGATAAAAGTGAAATTACGTTAATCCGTATTTCATTAGTTTCTGGCAAAATATTAAGTGTTCCCAATTACTAATTTCGTTCAAAAAATCGATTATTTATGAAGCGATTATTATTATTTATGATGTCGGCTGTGTTTGGCAGAAAATAGCGCTAGGAAGCAAAATGGCGATCGCTAAGCGGAAAGCGCTGTCAAATGACACATATATTTTACTATTTTTTGGACTGACATTATTATTTATTTTAATATTTCTGCACAAAACATCTTATAAATTCTACTTTTAAAACAAACAAAATAAATAAGCAAAATGGCGGATTGGTCAGCGCTACTGAAGTTAGAAAACGTGTCCTGGCCGAAAACTGTGTCAGCGCTAGTAAGCGCTTCCTAGCGCTATTTTCTGCCAAACACAGCCATTATTTTATAGCTATATTATTCGATTTTCGGTAATTATTATGATTTCATTGTGTTAGTGCTAATATTACTTATTTATTTATTGTTTATTTTAGGCATAATCGCCCATAAGGATGTAACAAAAGTTAAATTAAATTACATTAATTTAAACTAATACACAAAAACTTCATACGCAAAACCCTTAAATTAATTTTTCAGCAGATAAACACGGCGGAATACAACAGACACTAACTGATTACCATAATCAAGTCAGGAAAGATGCCTTGAGTCTTCTCAAGAGCCCGTAAAATAAATTAATAATATATAAATATTCCTTATTTCGTTAATGATTATGATGTTACGATAATAATATAAGCGAATTGCTAGTTGAATTACCATAAACTCTTTAAATCATAGCAAAGACGCTACTGTACAATTTAATTGTCATTCTTATCTGTTCTTAAAAATACTTTTAAGATATAATAAAATACATTAATATAGATAGATAGATAGATATAATTAAAAAAAACACTAAAAGGCGTACAGAATTTAAAGGCACCTTGTAGATTATTATTTCATATGAAATTATATTTTACAAATAATCGATAACCATTTCCGATTTTATGGCTGTTAAGTGGCAACATCGAATGCATTGAAACAGCAAGGACACAATCTGTCACCATTACGTGAAATCACAACTTCATTTGCATTTCTATTATTTGTTTGTTTTCTTACAATACAACTAATAAGCTTTCTAAATGGACTCCGACAATTTTTCTTACCCTACTGACCACGGCCTGAACATGGATCCCGCTCCCGCTTCTCACGATAACTCCCGCACGAACTTGGACTCAATATCCATTGAAAATGATGACCCCAGCTCTCACACCGGCCAGAGTTCTTCACAGCCCACAGTAACTCTTTCAAGAGGACATTCACGCTGTGTCAATTGTGGTATAAACGAAATAGAAGAAGTTCGAAATCTAATACAACAATGGGTTCGACCACAGCAGGTAAATAGTTAATGTAAATAGTAAATGCTTTTTAGCTGAGATGACTTAAAATAATATCAATATCTAATAATAATGGCATCTTTATTATTAGGTTGGATTGCAGCCTGGAATGAAATACGAAATCCAACTAGTGAACAGCAGAATGCACCGATTGTTGGCCATGGACTTGTGTGCATCAGCTGTGGCAGGTCACTTTTGAGAATAAGATCACACTCACTCTGTTCTGATTCTCCACGTGAGGAACTCATAAGGAATGTGATTGTGCAACAGATTGCACCACGTGAGGTAAGTGTATAACAGTTTTTAATTTATGTGTATAAAATGTTATTCGCTGATAATATAACTTCCATTGGTGAAAGAATTGTGTGATAGCGTAACAAACAAACAATCTCACTTTCACATTTAATATAAAGTATTGGTTATGGATTAGCCGCAAACTAGCTGGTGTGTTCACATCATTGCACTGGAATAAAAGTATATGATGTAAAAGTTTTTTCATGTTAACATATTTGTTTAGCCCAGTGGGCTGTATTGTTCTAACCATTTATCTAGTTTAATTTGATTTTGTTTACTTCATTTATGGTTTAATTATTGTTTCAGTTGCCATCATCATCTTGTGTGTGTCATAATTGCTGGCGAAGGACTGATAGAGCAGCATCACATTCAACTGTAGACAGTGAAACCTCCGAACCATCTAGTCTGTCCTCGTTGCAATCTGAAGTAGCTAGCGATGTATTGCATCCGGAACAACAAAGCTTAGATACATCAGACAGTATACTGCTGCCTAATTATGTAAGAGCACCAATTACACAAAATCAATGTTTTTTTCCTGGTTGTAATGATTCCCATCGACTCACTGTTCCATCGATATTGCGAGTACGTCTTTAAGAACAGGAGAATGATGAATGATTCTGGCAGAAGTGCAATCAAAAAGTATTGTTGTAACTGTATTGTTGGCCGTCGAACGCTAGGATGTTGTGCCCATATAATGACAGTAATATGGTATTTGGGTTGGGCACAACATCAAACAAATATTTTTCCTCCAGCTCAATTCCTGGATGATGTACTAATTGTGTATGACACAAATGATGTATGATCATAAAATACCTAAGAACTACATATAACTTGATATTGTATGTGAGAATAACAATAAAATGATGAATAAGGAAAAAAAACTGTAGTTATTTCTGAAAATTAAAATTATTTAATATCTTAAAAATCCCGACTTTTTTTAATACCAATTCCTTAAACATTTCATTCTTTAAATTGTATATTATCATTTCCATATGCTTTTATATGTGTGCACCTAGGGCCAAAGTGTCTATGGGTAGTGGGCATTCCCCTTTACATAATTAGCTTTCGCAAATGTTATGTTTTCTGTTAAAAAAATGTTGTTAATGCATGATACTATTGAGTTTTCGATTAAGGTTTATATTTGGATTGATTCAATTTTTTCTTGTCTATGGTGGGTCCTTGCTAACAATAAGAATACAAAGTGGTCCCTGGTCAATAAAATGTTGGAGACCACTGCTGTAGAGCAACACATGTATGGCTACACCAGCGGGGTCATAACGGCGTCCAATTTTAAATTTATCATATCGTATTCAGAAATAGCTGAAGGGTTTCTTCCGTTTGAGATACGACGCCTTATAAATAGTTATATCAGAAAGATCATAATGCTTTAGGTTATATACCCACCTGCTTTTTAGCAAAACTACTGCCTAATTTAGCTGCTTCCGTAAAAGCTTCACGAGCATCGTCGTCCGCGCCTCTCTTGCGCAGGAGCACGCCGCGCTGACAAAGCGCCAGTGCACGAGCGCGATTCTTCTTACCAACTGTTAGTTTTAGCGCCACGTCTAAATCTAACATAGCATCTGAAACAAACAGTGCTTGGTTACATTAAGACAAAGGGAGCAAAGATTAACGTGAACCGATGTTATTCAGCCGTACAGTGAGTTGAAACGCCACTAAAGACTTGGCTAAAAGTTATCAACAAATAAAGTAATAGGCCGAAATCCGTTTTAAATGCGGTTTAACTGAATTAAAACAGCTTGAACCATATTCGGCCAAAATTCAGTCCAAATGCCAAACATTCGGTATTAGAAAAAAGTAAAGTATCTGCACTATTTCGGCTAAATTTTATATAAATCAAATCTGTCGTAGGTACATATAAAATGAAACAATTCTTTTATATACTCCTTAATCAGTCATTTATTTGGATTAAGTAGGAATCATTATAGTTTTGGAACATTGTAACATCGATATATTTATTTAAGTAAGTAAGTAATTTAAAAAAAATCTATACTAGTTCTTTTTACTTAAGGAGACATAAAAATTAAATTTCTTTTGAACAAAGAAAATAAACACAAATAAATAAATACCTGAAAACAAAATAAACTTTGTTCACTTCTAACAAACATCATAATAATTTGTATCTTTAAGAGATAACTTTTTTTAAGAAAATACAATTACGCTGAAAAGAATGAATATGAAAAGGCTGTTTGGAACATCATCATTAGCGCAACAAAAAGGCGCGGCAGAAATAAACGAACTTCGGCCCAATTTTGTATTTTTACTGAATGTTCGGCCTAAGTTCGTATTCGGTTTTAACTACATTCGCCCATCTATACAAATAAATAACATTGAAGTGTCTGCTTGTAATGTCAAAATACTAGGCTCACACGGTTATTTGCACGATGCCTGTGCCTAAAAAGTGATTAAATGTTTTTTTATTGGTCTGTCTGTCTGTTTGTTCGGGTAATCTTCAAAACGGCTGGACCACTTTGATAATATTTTACTACCAGGTAGCTGTCTATATAAGGATTAACTAAGGCTATTTTTCCTCAAGAAAAACCGTGTAAAATTTCGCCCGGTCCGGGAATATAACCCGAGGCCTCATAGACTGCAGTCGCGTTACGTACTACTGCACTAAGGCAACGCTTTTTAAATTGCACCCGAACCAAGTCGCGGGTACCAGCTAATCACCAGTAAATATGTACGTATCTATTAACAAGATTACTAGAAGCATACCATCATCTTTCTGCATTAGACGTAACAATTGCGCCCTGTCATTGTACGACGCTGCTCGCTCAGGCGCAGCTTGAACGCCTTTAGACAGGACTTCTAATGCTTCTTGCAGTTTGCCTGCTTCAGCTAGTAAGACTCCTTGAGCACACAACGAGGAGGCCTCCTTGTAGCTATCTGTGGCAGGTTCTAAAATAAAGACCATAATATTATTATCATAATAAATTAAAAAAAAAAACATGACAAGACATTAAACAAAAATAAGTATTTTTTTTAATTGATTATTGTATTGTTATCGGCCCTTGACACGTGTACAAATTTTAAAGTCAAAGAAATATTCCTTGAAATTAATAAAATTAACGTAAAAATATTCTATTCCATAGACACATTCTTACTTACACATAGCTGCGCATTACTTTTCAATAATTTTATTCATAACACATGTCGATGGAGCTAACTATAGTGTGGAAATAATATGTCTATATGTCTTATTAATTTTTGAGTCATAATTTTACTAATCAATTGCAAACGCAATTTTATAATGATTATCGCGGTAACATTTGTGACGATTCCAAATATTTGTTGTGTACTTTTAGACATTGAAGTCGAAAATGTAACATTTTCCAAATATTTTAGACATCTTTTTTTAAATTATATTTTATTAGTCCTAGTTCCTAATATTAGTATTGGAGAAACCCGTAATCTGGTTTTTATAAATATTATGAGCGATAAACTCACACGAAAGAACGCCGCCCCTTTTTTAAACCGATTCCTATAATAATATGCTAACAAATGAGATACATTCGTAAAGTAAGCAAAGTGATTATTGCTAATCGTTGATAAATAACATATAGGTACTTAATTATTGAAAGCACTGCACGTGCAATAGTAGGCCAAAACCTCCTTTCTAAGGTGAGGCCTATGTAAAGCAGTGGACTATTAAAGGCTGTTGATGATGTAATGAATGCACGTCTACGGGTAATGTGTCTATGTAATAGAATCTTTCTTTAATTTCAAAACTTGTACACGTGTCAAGAGCCGATAACAATACAACAATCATTAGCCAAAAACCTCCTTCCTAAGGAGAGGTCTATGTCCAGAAGTGAACTATTAAAGGCTGATGTTGTTTTTTTTTAAATAAATTGTTGAATTGTTACCAGACATACAGCGACAGTCTAAATAAAACAATACCTGCTTTTATCACTTTATGCAATGGCATAAAGTGATAAAAACAGGTATTTTACTACTACTACTAGGTATTACTGTAGGTACTAGGTACTACTACTACTACCACTACTAATGAGTAGTGGTAGTAGTAGTACCTATTCGAAATCCTTAGCAATACATTAAAAATAAAGAAAAGATTAAACCGACATCAAAAAAAGAAGGCGGCACTATATTCGGCTGTATGTATTTCTATCCTATACTATCTAAAGTACATCGATATTTCCGTCATTTGTGACTGATTTTAACTAGTATTTTATATTATTATATATATTTTATTTTTATATTAAAATACAGCTTTATTTTTATTTAAATTTAAAAACAATAAACGTTCTTTTTTTGAAAGGAACAAATTAATAAGTCAAAATCTCAAAATAACTTAACTAAGAACTTTAATCGTCGATATAAGCAAAGAATTATGGTTAGTATTCTAATCTAGCCTTCATTTAAAACATAATATGTAATAACATAATAATTACGTTAACCTTGACGATAATCTTACATATATATAGGATAGACATACCATCATCCTCTTCATCAAATTTATCAGTATCAGCATCCTCAACAATATCTCCAATAGTAGCAGTAGGATCGAAGATGCTTCTCAAAACAGCTTTGTCCCTCTCACTTAAATGTTCTAAAGCAGCCATGTTAACACTACCGCTCTGTATCAGACCTTGTTGTAAAATAACAGGTAGTAAGAATGTCGAGGAAACTTGTTTTGTATGTTGAATAATATCGACAATAGATACGGGTTGTGCTGTGACTTAGGGCTATTAAATAATGTACTGATTTAAAAATATATATGGAGCGTATTTGATATCTATTTATTATCTTCATTTTTTTCAAACTAAACTGGCGAACAACCGCATAAAATAAACACACCGTCAGATATTAAACCCTTGAAATTTAAAATTAAAGTTTTAAGAATGATAAACGGCAATAAAGCATTTTTTGTAAAGCTAAGAATTTTTATAAAAAATCATACATGACTTCCGGACAAAATGAATCTAGACTGTCAACTTAGTTGGTATGAGTTCTCGAATATGGATAAATTATACTAATACATTACGCGGCCTTAAAAAAGGAGGTTTTCAATTCCACCAAATATTGTGTTGTGTTTATGTAACGGTACCTTTTTTTTCCGTGCGGAAATCGCCTCGGATACCGCCTATCGGTGGCATGTCGGACTCGAACCGACTAAAACCGCACGCCGTCTCGGGTACTAATAGCCGGGGAACCAGGTATACCCTAGAAAGGAAGTCCCTGGTGCCCCGACATACCTCGGGTCATCTACAGACGAGTAGACGACCCCCCCCCCCCCCCCCCCCCCGCGTGACCTTCCGTACCCTACCTACGACATCGACATAATCAAAATACTTAACTCGTAAACCTAAGAATCAATGACTTGATACTAGAACTGAACCTAAATAAACATCGTAACCACATAACTAAGTATTTATAAATATGATTATTTGTAAATATCTATGTCTGACTGGTTTCTCATGCATATTTAATAAATGACACAATATACTTGTTCTTGTAGCTTTTCCGCTCAATAATATAAATGGACCGACAAACGATAACATCTAAAAGTAATTATTTATTTAATGTACTTTATACCGTTAGTTACACTGTTGCAGCTGCCTCAATTTTCAAGAAATTTGTTAGTAACTGTTTATTTACTTAAGAACTTTCATTTTCTTTTAATTTACTCATGCAAATTATCTATGAAAATATTAAACAACCGTGGACAAACGGGCAATCTAATGATTTTAATTTACTGATTTTAAATGTATGTAGGTATACAAACACAGGCCGCGGAGTCCTTGTATAAAAATTTCAGTGCCCTTATCAAATTTTTAGTTACCCGTTCGAACTACCCACAGTCTCAGTTCTATCAGAGACTGCGGTATCTTTTACCTAATCTTTTCCTTTCTTTCTCTCACTCTATCTCGTTCTGATATTTTTTCTTCGCGTATCCCCTGATTTACCCTTTGTCCCGTCTGAAAACGATTACATTCCTAAACAGGGTTAGCATGTGGCTGGCAATAAAATAAACCCGCCAAAAATTGGAATCAGAGCAAAACTATGATGGCTTAATATGTGGGACATTCAAAGCCTCATAACCATATACAAACTTAATACAGTTATGTACCTAACATACATTTGTACTTATGTTGAAATCTTGGCACAACCAATAACTTGTTTTAAAGTAATATACCTACCTACTTAAACAAGCAAATAAATTTACGCCGCTAAAAATTTCCTTACAAAGATTAGTCGTAAACCTAATGATAGCTTGTTTAAATTTAAAAAGTGTAGATAACATTAGCAAAAGGTACTACCACCGATAAAATTGTCTTTATTTTTATGTCGCTGTGTGTATAGTGTACTGTGATCACAGACATACTTAATTTGTTGTGTTATTACATTTTCTCATTATGTAAGTGAACTGTATTGTTATTTTTTGAGAAAATAAATGTATTTGAATGTATCTGGTTCTGTCCCGATCCCTTTGTCTAAGTCCCTTTGGGGCTCATCGGCGTAACGTACTTTCATTTGATAACATGAAAATTGCTAAAAACTTAGAATTAGCTATCAACCGTAGCAAGAACCGTCACGATCAAGGAGCTTATACTCGCCCTGTTACAAAATATACAATTACCACATAATATAAAGAATATTTGATGTGTAACTTCTTTCCCCTCGCTCTCTTGCAGCCTGTAAAGTGTTTTCGTAAACATGGACGGAAGTATGTAACAGGAAGTCGGGGAAAGGCGCGTTTTGATTTGACAAATGAGCGTGCGCAGGGCTAGAGTTAGTCTTCAAATGGTAGGCGAAATGTTAGACATTATATGCAACGGCTGTAAAACCCGCTCGGTTTTTTTTATAATAGACATGCCACGTGATTTATACAGGTACGTATTACATGGGCTGAAAAGTCCCGGGCCTAACACATAGATGGCGCTAGTTTTATTGCAGTAACCTTTTTTCAGTTACTACTAACCTTCAAAAGACAGTTGTTAGAATTTCATGATATTCTATTCATTAGTTTGTGAGTTATTGTGCTAAGAGTGACGCTACTTTTGTTATTTTCAAAACAATGGATCAAAAACAATTTCGTGTTTTAATTTTACACTGCTTCTTGATGGGAAAAAATACCGTTCAAGCGAAGCAATGGCTTGAAAAGTGTTATGGGGACTCCGCTCCATCAGAAACAACAATAAAACGTTGGTTTGCTGACTTCAAACGTGGTCGTAGAGACACCGATGATGCAGAACGCAGTGGACGTCCAAATGAGGCGGTAACACCAGAAAACATAAAAAAATCCACAAAATCGTTTTGAATGATCGAAAAGTGAAGTTGCGTGAGTTAGCTGACATCGTAAAGATATCAAAAGAACGTGTTGGCTTCATTGAGTTAAAACAACACTAGAGAAGCAAACCTCATTATCACACGTCGAAAAAAGTGTAACCACTTTTGAACTTTGACGACGTAGCTTTGATACCACTAAACATTTGAAAGTAAACATATTTATGTCTCATTTACACGCGAGACAAGAACAATACCATCGCTCGGATTAGACAAAGATATAACTTTACGATGGTGGGCCAGTGTTGACTACCGTATGAAATTTTACCCATAACAACTAAGAAACAATTTTTTTTTAAACAATTTTGTAATAAAATAAATTAATTTAAATATTCTAAATAATATATTTCGAATTGACTAGAATAGGTATAAATAATAAAATAACTGGCAATATTTTGTTAAAAGGGTTTATATTCAGTGTAAAATCAAACTGCGCTGTGAAGCCTCAGTTTTGTATACAATTGTCTTTTAGACTCTTTTTTATAAGTTTGTGTGGATATTTTACTTTCATGATACAATCTTATTTTTACGTATGTAAAAATAATAGCATTTAATAATAAAAGTGAATGATCAACTTAACTGACTGATAATAAATAATCCCCAGGGTGTATTGCAAATTATATTATAATTTAAAAAACAAATAATAAAAAAAAAAATATTTTATAAAAAAAATTATTTATGTTTATTTACTTTTTTATTTTATATTTTTATTTTTATGATAAACATTTATTATTATTATTATTATTATTTTGTACAATTATTATTTAAAATTGATAATAAATTAAGAAAAACAATGAATTAATTTTTTTGTACAAAAGTCTCCAGCACTGCGAGCTTGGCAGAAGTGCCAAGCTTGCAGTGCGTTCAACGGGTCCCTAAAACGTTCAACGGGTCCCTAAAAAAAGGGATCGGTCCAGCCCTAACCACTACCGTTCTTCCTATATTTTATTATTATTGGCAAAATGTTTAAAAACAGTACAAAGCATATTATTTCATAAATTATAAATTCTCCCACTAATGTGGGAAAACCAAAATGATTTTTTAATGGTAACACTGATTCTAAATTACAATTATCAGTGTTTTATTTCAATTATAGCCTTATTTACGATATTATCAATACAAAAACCATAAACTTACACGTGAAAAGTAATTCCGCATGATTTATTAATGTTTTGTGACCTTGAATCGCATTCTTTCACTACGCATTTAGCCATTTTGGCGATTGTTACTGTCATGTGTCGCTATGTTCAACTCGGTTGACGCCACATTGAATAATGAATTGACGTTTGCTACGCATATGCCTGTGGACATATGTGTAGTAGCAACGATTTTAGGCGGTAATTACTCATCTATGTAAGTATTATATCAATGGTTGGCTTTATATTGCTTGAGCATTTGACTATGAGACAGCTCTGTTCAAAGTGGGTGCCGCGTTTACTCACTGTTGACCAAAAACGAGAACGTGTTGATGATTCTGAGCAGTGTTTGGCCATGTTTAAAAATAACAAACCGGAATTTTTGCGTCGACATGTGATAATGGATGAAACATGGATCCATCACTTCACTCCGGAATCAAAACGATCGTCATCTGAGTGAACAGCAACTGGTGAACCTCGTCCAAAGCGCCTGAAAGCACAACAATCGACTGGAAAGGTTATAGCCTCGGTATTTTGGGATGTGCGTGGTGTAATATTCATCGACTATCTTGAGAAAGGAAATACCATTAACAATGAATATTATATAGCGTTATTGGAGCGTTTGAAGGCCGAAATTGCAAAGAAACGACCGCATATGGCAAAGAAAAAGTTTTTGTTTCATCAAGAGAACGCACCGTGTCACAAGTCAATCAAAACAATGGCAAAACTACATGAATTGAACTTCGAATTGCTCCCACATCCACCGTTTTCTACAGATTTGGCTCCCAGCGACTATTGGCTGTTCGCAGACCTGAAAAAAATGCTCGCCGGTAAGAAATTTCGCACGAATGAAGAGGTTATCGCTGAAACTGAGGCCTATTTTGAGGCAAACGATAAATCGTTCTACAAAAGTGGTATTGAAATGTTATTAGAGCGGCGCTGGTATGATTGCGTTGCTCTTGATGGAGATTACGTTGATGATTAAAGCTAATTTTGAACCAAAAAAACTGTGTTTTCTTTGTTAGGCCCGCGACTTTTCAGCCCATGTGTTATATGATGACTGCCAAGGTATATTACAATCACGCAACTTCAGTACCACTTATTAGTTGAAATAAAAAGAAATATAAAAAAAGTTCTGATGTTGTATGGTTTATTAAATATTTACAACTGAAAAAAGATGTTTCTCACAGTAATTTTCACATCAAATCATCTGTTTTTTTTTTTCAGAACATTTGTCATTAAAAAAAAAAAACCTCAAATGGGTTAGAGTATAAACCTACACCAACATGCTCTGGGATAACATAAATTTGGTGCTAATTCTGTAGTTCGAAAATTCTCTAAACTAAACTAAAAATCCCTAAAATAACTTTTAGTTCTGCCAAATTCTACGTTTTCAGAACAGGAAACGTTATTTGACAGGATAAAACAAATTTTAGTTTTCGAACAACAGAATTAGCACCATTGTATCTCTTCAAAAATATCAAAATCCCGATTCTAGTGTCTTCTCCAAGTCACGAATCTCACTTAATTTTATTATGTTCTGTTTGAGGGTTGTCAAATAAAATATGCACTAAGCAAACCAACTTTATGGGAAAAATAATAAGACAACAGGGCCGTTTTTTAGTAATGTTTTGAAAAAGTTGACACTGATATCAAGACATGTGTATCCATAGCGATTTTCGTTAATGTTTACGTATAAAGAAACGTCTTTGCCGCCATACTTTTTTTTATACCAATATTTTAAGACATTTACAGTTTGCGTGTAGGCCTATTTGCGATAACATGGTAACATTTTGTCACACAAAAAGTCACCAAATAATTGGAATGTCTCAAAATCTGGGATAAATAAAAAGTGTTTAAAATCAGTTAAGAACGTTTAGAAATTTAATAAAATATTTAAATTTTGAATAGTAATCGTGAAATAAGTTGTAAGTAATGAGGAGAACTGATCTGTAAAAAACACTTTATTTGTATATATACATTTAGTTCCAACTTTTTGTTCAGAAGACTCCTCATACTTTACATTTTTCTGACTAAGAGTATTTGTACAGAATTCCATGTGTTCATATAAACAATAAATTTAATGGAACATCTCCTGTACAAAACACTAGACTACAGATAAATCTTAAAAATAATCAATTTTTTTTATAATAATATACAGCTCACACTATATTCGATACATGGATCAAAAATATATACATTGGAATTGAAAATATACAGCAGATGACAACTTTTGTAACTTTAAGTAATTTACGAAAGAACTTTTAATCATCATTAATAATCAATGCAAGCTAAAAAGAGAATCTCGAGTCTAGAGATTACATCGAATATTAATTTGAAAGGTTATGAATTAAATGTAATTAAGTAAACTTAGACACTGGGTCGTTGAATACAGTATGCATTCTATTAAAATAAATAAATTTATTAAGAGACTTCAACAAACTACTGAAAGGGTATAACTTCCCCTTTGGTCCCACTCAAATTTGACTTAAAAAATCCACCGCTGAGGGCGAAAATTAAGGAGTAAAGACTACAGTTTATCACAATTAATCGTGATATAGGCACATTGAAGTTGGTGATACTTAGAGTCAATTATTAGTTTCTCTAATGCTAAATCCAAGCCACAGATATTATACTATTACGCTTGTATATCATTAAACATCTTTTACATTAAAATTACCAACGAACGAATATTGGTGTCAATAAATTAAAAAAGCAAGTCGAACTTTTTTTTTAAATCGATGCCCTTGTCTTAATTTCATATCTGAGATCAAAATTACTTAAGAAACAAAGATAATAAAGGTCACAGTAACAATCTGTTTTTGAACATTTTCTATTCCATTATATATTTATTTAGAATCATTTTCTTCCCAAACATTGACATACACTATCCCTGTACTTTAATCCTAAGGTTTTGAGTGAAGCTCTTAAGTTTGCCAATGACGTAAGATGATAGATCACGTTAGCGGTCGGACAAGGTTGCAAATAAGACAATTATTCTATATCACAATCCTCATTATAATAGGTAGACTTACACTAGCGTTGGTTTAATGCGACCGACATTACTTTGGTTATATTTATTTAATAATTTCATTCATATCAATTCAGAAATTGAATAAGTAATATGAAAGTCGGTGTGTTCTAGTTTTATTTTTATGTAAAGTACTTTTTGACAACTGCGTTAATTTTGAAATGTTTTGTAATTATCTTGACTAAACGATATATAGATTTATAAAATTTATATTTATAAATTCAGAAGAGATTTCTAAATGATTAACAGTATAACCGTTTATATTTTATAAATATCGCGAATTTATTGCGTGGATTACGCTAATACGCCACTATAAAGATGTCTAATAGCTCTTAGAGCTGTATTTTTTACATAAAACATTATTTTTAAATAATTATATCCAAAATAATGTCTGGTCAAATCTCACACACACATCAGTCACACTTATAATGCAATTTATATTATCTGTGTAAACTCCACTGGTCCTGAGTTACCAACTCATCTGAGCTAAAAATGGCAAACTACAACATTATGCTAAAGGTATAATTTTAGCAAGGTGGGAAAGTTGCGAAATAAGTGGTAGTAAAATAAATAATAAAGGTGAACTGGTAACATTTATAGCGAAGTTGGCACAAACAAATAAAATGCATCAAAAAACTTAACAGTACAATAATATACTATAAATATACATTTAGCAATATCTTACCCTAAAAATAGTCTATACATGTAGAAAAACTGTATATAAAAAGTTTACTAGCTAAAACTTTTAATTTTTTTATTAATATATAAATTGTATTCACACAATCGCAATTGTTAATTAAACAATTTCCTAAATTCATATAATTTCTTCAATTTATGTTTGAAATGTAACTGTAAATTATGCTTTTATATGTACAAATATATGTATGCACACACAAAGTGTCCGTTTCATTAAATATCCTCATTAATTTAAAACAAAACATTTCCATATGGAAATGTTACATAACAACATTGATTGTTCCCCAAACTGAGCACTCTTAGATTTTTAATTATACTTCACAATTTATTTATTCCCTACTTAAAATAAATTTGGTTTGATTAATGATTGACACAATGTTTTCTGCAGACCACACCTGTGGGTTTAACTGAACTGTTCATATACATATATCACAGCCTCACATACTGACAATGTCTGCTAATGATAATAATATATGCTAAATTCAATCATTCCCAATTATGGCAACATTGCAAAAGTGTGGCAATTCTACATGTTTACAGTACACATTCAACATAATATACGTGTTTCACAATTTGAGACAGCAAGAAGTTAGCAGAAACAAAAAGAATCGAACAATCATTTTATTTTTAACTAAAAACTGTAAAATAACAGCATGCTGATGTCACAAACAGAGTAGCTCGTATGAATAAATAGCATTAAAGGGAAAAGTCAAATGGATGGACATGAATTACGTCTTGGTGAAGTAATTAAATTGATTTTTATATATCGCTTGTGCTACCTGTTCTGGAACCCCTTTGTGCCGTCTGGCCCCCTAGGAGTCCTAATCACCAGGACCCCTCGTGGCGGTGGGGAAGGAAAGACCCCAGCTGCAGTAGCACCACTGGGGAGCCGTGTGAGAACTTTTCGTTCCTTTCCTTTGGCATTAGTGTCACTCTGTGAGTTCTTTGTCTTACCACTATTTTGACTGTCATTGATATTGTTTGCTTGGAGTTTATCCTGAAGCCGGCTGAGACTGTAATCAATAAATAACAATATTTATTAACTGACAAGTGTCTAGTCAAGTAATTAACTAAAATAAAATAATAATCTTAACACTAATATAATGCCAAAATTTATAATAAATTATTTCTGTAACATGTGTAATACATTCAGGTTGGATACAATTTAAACATGCACACAATTTTATTGTAATAATTAAAACTATTTTTCAGTTCATGGTAAATTAAACAAATAGAAAAAGCAGCAGTGTATTATCCAACTTCAAAAAGGACAAGAAATAATTATCTTTTTAAATCAATTGGTTATACACAGGGTGTGTGTGATTTAGGTGCATGCAAGGTAATGATGTTAAAACTAAATTACCTATCCATACATACTTTAAATTATATTTTTCTCTTTTTTTCATATACTTAAATTAACTTTAATAGATTAATTAACATGTATTGTATAAAGCAATCAAGTCACATCTCAAATGATGTATTGCTTTTTATGTTCACGGTGTTTGATATTAAACAAATACTAAAGACTTATGATTTGCTGATCTACCAAATGTTATTGTTCAAAATATCTTAAACCCTAAAATAAGTCCTCAAATTCAAGTTAAGTATGGAGCTTAACTATTATGCATCCATCTCCAACATTTGACATTATGCCATAGATTACAATACATAATTATTTTTTAAAGATAATAGAACTGATTTCAATGCACCTCCATAATGATAAATGGTTCATTACAAATTACAGTGTTCTGAGGTCACAAACGTGAAAAAACTACAGTTGTCTTGTATCCTCTTCATTGTTTGAAATTGGTTGATAAGTAATCACTATATGGCACTCTTTAATTTTTATATATCCATATTACAATTCCCACAGGCCAGGTGGACTGACCATTTGCACAAGATGGTGCGCTGCTGCGAGCAGTTACAAATCGATGGAAGTGGAGTGCAATGGGAAAGGTCTATGTCCATCAGTAGACTGCGACAGGATGATGATGATGTTACAATTATACTCCTCAACATCATGGTCACTTTGGGTATAGAATCTGAAGCAGTCAAGCAATTATAATTTATGTGAATATTAATGAGTTCTTGTTTGTCACGACAATCAATGTGGCTTTTTCCAAAACAAGATTTTTGTTATTAGAAACATTACAACTTAATTTTGTTACACTTTTAAACTGGTATTTAATAGGCATTATAGTTGAAATTCATAAAATTTATGGAGTTATGAATACCTTGACTTACAAGGCATCTCATGGAAGCTAACAAACTTTGTTTGAGAGCCAAGAGCTAAGGTGTTGAATGCCATTTGGTAGACATGATAAAAATTGAATTGCTAGCAGTCAATTATGACTGACATGGCAGTCAATATGTTAAAGAATTATAAATTATAATTATTGAGCATATTTTTGACAGTAAAAGATGTGAATTTGAGAAAATCTACCATGCTCTGACACACTTCAGTTTGGTAGTATGACATAATCCTGTAATTCTCAATGAAAGTCCATTTGATAAGGGCCAACAGATTATTCAATGTATGTGTTACCGAGTTACTTTTGAATTGTTGGAACATTCAAATTGAATCAAAATTAAATATCAATCATACAATGTTTAGAAATCACTGTTAAAAGCTAATGTGAATAGATGTTAAAAGTTTTTAACACAAATTTAACAATGTTTATAAATAATATTATGACTATTGCTAACATCACACTAAAAATGAATGCTCTGGGCCAATGTCACTGGAGGGTGTTATGTAAAGTGGCATGACAACAATTGGTAAATGAAACCGGTCTTACTTATCATCGATGACGTCTTCAGGGCTACGAGCTTCCCCCAGGATCCGCAGACGAGCTTCCGCGTACTCTTTCTGCCTTTGTTCAAGTGTTTTGACCGGCCGAGCGCGGCTCTCACCGTTAAGTTGCCCGCTCGCCGACGACGACGGCCTTTTTAAGATACGAATAGCTGGCACCGGCATCACACACTGAGATCCAATACACGCGTTGTCTTCAACAGTAACCTTGCAGCCCTTGAGTGAAGTTTGCACTGGCGCGCAGTCACTTGACATCAGCCTGATCTTCTGGTCCAACTGAAATACAGAAACCCACTTGTGAATAACTGTACCACGGCGTTCACCGATACGGAAAACATCCAGGTTTAATTCCCACAGTTACACTTACGCCAATTTCGTCCATATCCTCCCAACTTTCACATACGTCAACTTCATCTTGGGCCGCCATGTTGACTGACTGGAGTGACGTTGCCACCGCAAAAAAGGCAATCTTGAACGTTTTACAAAAAGTAACTGTTGTTACGTGGTTTAAATTTTCTGTTTTTAAAAGTAGGTATTATTTACTACAACATCTACACAGATATTAAGGAAATTATCAATGAAATAAAATCACTATTCTTAAATACAAATGTGATATAATAATTTGTGATTAGATGTTGTCGTTACTATAATTTTAAATTAAAAGTAGCTACATCAGTGTCTTCTCTAAATAACAAGTTCAATAGAAAAATTGATAATTTAGATAAGATAATTGAGTCTTGAAGTATCTAGGTAAAATCGCAAATGACAAGACCTTTAAATGGTTTATTTCTCTCTCTGCCAATCGATTCTAAGCTATTGCATTACTGGATGCCGGTAACACCCAAATGATGAAAGTAGAAAGCGCACAACGTGCACTCTTTCCTCATACGGCCGAACGTACAGATACCATACTGACTCACTTTATTTAGAGCTGGGATTGCTCAGAGTTTGACAATTATACATATAATATCCTTCACTCTGCGTTTCCACAAAACTACTTTGAGCAATGCCACACTTAGTCATTCAGAACGTAGGTTGTTATGGAATACTGTAAGGTGTCGCAGATCGATTGGAAGGAGAGTGTCAAATTTCCTGGGACCCTAGATATACAGGAAAATTAACTCCAAACTACTATCAAAACAACTAGACTATCAAAATACTTCTGTAAAAAAAGGGTCAATAAAGGACCAGTCGAGCTTGACTACAATAGCACGGAGGACATCCTGAAAAGCAAATAATAACACGCATACACCACAGCTTACACACACACGCACACACACACATATAACTCAAGCAAACACACACAGTACATGGATGGCACTTCATTATTTATAGGTAATTTTTTTTGTATATTTTTTTTCTTTTTACTCAATTATTATTTTTACTTTTTTATATGTTTTTATTAACCTCTCGTAAAGCAAGTGGACTGAAGGAGGCAAGATCCCACGACACAGGGAATTCTAGCGCAGGATCTAGAGATTTTATCGGTAGAACTAGATTGGTACCCAAACAGAATAAATAGTGATAGTAACAAAACTTTCTGCAACAATAAATAATATTAGATAAAAGATAATAAAACAAAATGACCAGCTGATTGCATCGACCCATTTATTCTCAAAGATGTTAGATAAGTTTTTCGTTTTATTTTATGCAAATTGATTTACTATTACTTCAAAAAAAGTAGATATTTACAAATTTAATTAATTTGAGGTAAAGGTAAAACTATTTTATTTATAGCTAAAACAATAGTATAAAAACTTGGTTCATTTCACGGACAATTATATAAACTCTAGAAGGAATCTTGACTCTTTATAATTTAATGTCAATCATATAGAATAGTATAATTACAAATCAAAAACCGGACTGAAATTGCAGTGTGTTTCAGTTTTTTTTTATTCATAGTCTTAACGCTGTATAATTACAGTTTTAATTAGGGTGACTTTGGTGAATGAGTAAGTAAAAGTAAGTGACTAAATTAATAGAATAAGGTGATTTGATTGAATTTTAGTCGCTTGTTGAAATTTTACAGCAAAGCATTTTGCAGCTTGAGCTCAATGTTATGCAGTCATTCTCCAGTCAATTTCATTCCAGTAGTTCACAATCAGGTGATATCAGTTTCTTTTTAGTAACTTCAAAACGGTTAGTTAGTAGTAAGTTGTTGTTTGGTTGTAAAAATATATATTACGTCATTAGTTGTGACGTAAAACCAAAGACAGAAAATGGACTGACTGCTCACAAAAGTGACCCCTTTTCTAGAAAGAGACGAAGCAACTGTGCCGCCAATAACTGTCTCTCTTCTGCAAGCTTTAATTTTATATCAATTTTTTATTACAATATACATTATTTTTTTTTTTTTTTTACAAATATTTTTCTATTTTAATATTATACTACTACGGTAGTAATTGAAATTAATTTCTTTTAATTAACTGAACAAGTTTAGCTACTTTTTTGAACTTAACAAACATAATATACAATGATTTAGATACATAAAATATATAAACTTGACGTGTGACAGTGGCGTGAACCTATCAGAATACTAGAAAGCGAGAACTACTATATTATAGCCGTACATTCACTTTGCAGCTCTCGTATTTTTCGGTCTCAATTCACTGCACAACTGACTAAGAAACACGCAGCAAACCAACTTTGCAACCGAATGACAGTACTACAATAATATTTTTATACCCTTTTCCTATTTCTTACCAACGTGTTTGTTCAAAACCTGGCAACACAGAACAGAGCAAACGTCATAACAGTGTGCTCTAGAGCCCACGGAATGTGAAATGTTGTGTTTTGTTTAAATAAAATTTTGATTTACTCTAAAGAGTATGATATAAAAAGTAAGTTTACATTTATAGTTATTTAAGAAATTGCTACAACGCTAGTTAATTTGTTGTATGCAATAATCATTGTTTTATTAGTTGTTTAGGTTAAATTGTCATGCCGTGTTTATTTTTATCATCGTGTATTTCTTTTACAGGCACTAAAAATGGCTTTTAAATCAGCAATGACAACGTCGACATCGCACTTGACGTCTGTAGACCCAGATTATATCCAATTCTTGATGTTCAATGACGAAGACGTTAAAAAACTAAGTGTATCTAAAATCACCAATGTACAATGCTTTGATGCTATAGGAAATCCTACGAAGGGTGGTCTGTATGACTCCGCTCTTGGACCACTTCGGGATAGAAGTGAAACCTGTGGCACTTGTAACAATGTATTGTTACACTGTCCGGGACATTTTGGACATATAGAATTACCTCTCGTCGTAGTCAACCCACTATTTATCAAGAATATCTATACACTCTTCCGTGTGAGCTGTTTAAAATGTTACAAAATCCAAATGAATGATCAAATGAAGTTTATATTAAAACTACAGTTGGACTTAGTTGATGCTGGCCACATAACAGCAGCATTAGACTTGGATAACTTTGTAGGAGATATAACTAGTAAAAGCGAGAGTTCCCCTGAGAAGCCAAGTAAAGTGATAAGAAAGTACCAAAAACTCTTGAAAAAGAGAGATGCTGTCACAGAAACTTTTCAAAGTAAGAATATAGATAAATTAAGAGCAAAGTTTATAAATACTTATTTCCGAGTTATAAATGTTGCCAAGAAGTGTGCCTTCTGTTCCAGTAAACTCATAAAAGTAACTACATCTGAAAATAAAATAATGTACAATTTGAGTGCGGAAACTGGTGAGAAAGGGATGAAAGGCATCAAAATATTAATGCCAGATGAAATCAAACGATATTGTTCAGCTATTGCTGAAAATGATGAAGATATCTTGAAACATTGTTTTCCTGTTCTGAGATTTTCTAATATTCATCCTATTACTAACATATTTTTTATGGAAGCCATTCCAGTCTTACCGCCTTGTGTACGACCATGTAATATACTACATGGAGAACTCATTGAACATCCTCAAACTAATGTATATAAAAGTATCTTGCAGAATGCATTCGCTGCCAGAGTTGTGCTACATGTGTTGTCATCATCAGAGCAACAAAAAACTGTGGATTGTTTGGATCAACTTCCCAGGCAAGCTTATGAAGGTGTACAAGGCAAATCACCACCAGAAAAATTGCATGCATGTTGGCAGGAACTTCAAAAAAGTGTCAACAATCTTCTAAATTGTGAAGGGCAGGGAGCGGGTAGTCAAGGCTTGAAACAAATCTTGGAAAAGAAAACTGGTTTAATCCGAATGCACATGATGGGAAAACGTGTAAATTTTGCTGCTCGGTCTGTCATCACACCTGATCCTAATGTGGATATTGATGAAATTGGTATTCCAGATGCCTTTGCTATGAAGCTTACTTATCCTGTTCCAGTGACTGAATGGAATGTTGATGAACTTAGAAAGATGGTAATTAACGGACCTAACAAACATCCTGGTGCCGAAAAAATAGAAATAAAGAATGGAAGGACAATAAGAATACCAACTGAATCAATTCAGAAGCGAAAGAGCCTTGCTAAGAGATTGCTCACTCCTGAAGACTTTGAAAAAACTGGATTGAAAATTGTTCATAGGCACTTATTAAATGGTGATGTTTTGATTTTAAATCGTCAACCATCTCTTCATAAACCTAGTATGATGGCTCATAGAGCCAGAATATTAAAAGGAGAAAAAACTCTGAGATTACATTATGCTAACTGTAAATCATACAATGCTGACTTTGATGGTGATGAAATGAATGCCCATTTTCCACAAAATGAAATTGCAAGAAGTGAAGCTTATAATATAATGTCTGTTCGCAAGCAATATTTAGTTCCAAAAGATGGTACACCATTGAGTGGTTTGATCCAAGATCATGTAATCTCTGGTGTAAAAATGTCCCTAAGAGGTACATTTTTCACTAAATCAGATTATCAACAACTTGTGTTTCAAGCTTTACCTTATCAAAAAGGTCCTATCAAACTTCTGCCACCAACAATTCTAAAACCAATGGTTCTTTGGTCTGGAAAACAAGTTCTATCAACAATCATCATCAACACTATTCCTAAAGATAAACCATGTCTGACGCTAATAGGCAAAGCGAAGATTAGTTCGAAAGCTTGGCAAAAATTCGAACCAAGGCCTTGGAAAGCGGGTGGTACACCTTTTCTTAATGGAAACACAATGACAGAGGCTGAAGTTATTATTAGAAATGGGGAACTTTTATCAGGAGTATTAGACAAAACCCACTACGGAGCTACACCTTATGGTTTAGTCCATTGCATGTATGAATTGTATGGAGGTGACAGCTCAAGTTCTTTACTCAGTTCATTTTCAAAAGTATTTACATTTTACTTGCAATGGATTGGATTTACACTTGGTGTCAAGGATATACTAGTACTCCAAGAATCAAATAAAAAGAGAGATGATTTCATTTGCTTAGTACGTAACGCTGGAAAAGTCGCAGCTGTAAAAGCAACGGATCTAGCTGCGGATATTGAGGATGAAAAATTAAAAGAAACTATTGAAATTATGTATACGAAGGACCCGAAATTCCGAACAAATTTGGATAGACAGTACAAGAATATGCTTGATTCCTATACAAATAACATTAATACAGTCTGCTTAAATGAAGGGTTACTTGAAAAATTCCCTTACAACAATTTACAATTGATGGTACAATCTGGTGCTAAGGGATCAACTGTAAATACTATGCAGATTTCATGTTTACTTGGCCAAATTGAGTTGGAAGGTAAAAGACCCCCTTTGATGATATCTGGTCGGTCTCTGCCTAGTTTTCCACCATATGACGTGTCACCCAGAGCTGGCGGCTTTATTGATGGTCGATTTATGACGGGAATACAGCCCCAAGAGTTTTTCTTTCATTGCATGGCTGGTCGTGAAGGTCTTATTGATACTGCTGTCAAAACCAGTCGATCAGGTTACTTACAAAGATGTCTTATTAAACACCTTGAGAGTCTCGCTATAGCTTACGATCACACAGTTAGAGATTCCGATCATAGTGTTATCCAATTCGCTTATGGAGAAGATGGCTTGGATGTTCTAAAATGTCAGTTCCTACGAAAAGAACAATTTCCATTCCTTGATACTAATTCCGATGCAGTTGTCAGTAAATCTGTCCTTAAAAGACTCAAAGAAGATACTGATACGAAAGTTGTAACGAAAGCACTGAAATCCTTAAAGAAGTGGAAGAAAAAGTGTGGAAGTCCTTTTGAAAAAGTTAGAACAAGTGGTTTTACTCAATTTTCTTACCTCACTAAAAAAGAAATCACCTTGGATGAGTTACCAACAGATAGAACTAGAGATCCATTTTATTGGGAGTTACAGGAAAGATGGCGTGCATTAAATGAAGATGAAAAACAGCAGTATGTTAGAAAGAAGTGTCCGGATCCTATTGCTAGCAAAACGTCGCCAGAGTTCAAATTTGGTGTCATTAATGAGCAGTTGGATGACTTAGTACAGAGTTATTTAAAAAACCGCCGTGAGCATGTATATAGCGAATATACTGAGAAGGATAAATTTGTAGAGGTCATGAGCGCAAAATATCTTGAATCGATGGCAGCTCCTGGTGAACCTGTAGGGTTACTAGCAGCTCAGTCTATTGGAGAACCTTCAACTCAAATGACACTGAACACCTTCCACTTTGCTGGACGTGGAGATATGAACGTTACTCTGGGTATTCCTCGTCTTAGAGAAATTCTTATGACAGCTTCAGCCAAACTAAAAACTCCGAACATGGACATACCGTTTAGAAACGAAATTCCCAATTTGACTAAAAAAGCTGAGAAATTAAGGCAGAAACTTAATAGAGTCACTGTATCTGACGTTTTGGAGAAGATAAACGTTCAATGTGAAATAGTCATCAGGCCGGAGAGACAGTTAAAAACGACAATGCGTTTCCAATTTTTGCCACATTCGCAATACAAGACACAGTACGCTGTGAAACCGCCGCAAATTATAAAGCACATGCAGCAAAAGTTCTTTGATGAGATGTTTTCGATAGTGAGGAAACAGGCTAAGGCGACCTGTGGTGTGGTTTGGTCGGCTGAGAAGCCTAAGAAAAGGGCCAAACTGAATGACGACGATGAAGATGAAGGAAACGATGCTCCGGTCGCAGAAACAGAAAACAATATTGACGTAGAGAGTTCCGACGACGAAGCGCCAAACGAAGACGATGATAACACTGACGTAAGATTTTAAACTTTATCGCTATGCTATAAAATAGGTTTTATTCGGTTCTCATTTAAAATTATAAAAAAAAAATAAGTTGTGTCACACGCTATAACAGTATTGTTGATCTATGTTGACCTAAAGCTATTGACAAATGTGCATTTCAACTGCTTAAGATCCTTCTGTTGCCTTGTCTGTTTTAGAATTCATCTGCATTAAATTGAAAGATATAAGTATTTTAACCTAAAAAAAAAATTTAATGTGCTTCATAATTTTTAAATCAATTCTGATTTTAAAAATATTTGAAATATGTGTAACAATGTAATTTGTAATTTCAGGCCAAAATCCGGCAAAAGAGATCAGAAGAACAGGAATATGAAGATCCTGAATCGGGTGAGGAAGAGAAATCTGACGATGAAATTGAATTAACTGATGAACAAGGCAAAGAGAAAGACGATTTAGACGCGACTACCGCAGAGAAAACTTTCTCAGCGGAAACTAGCAAGATCATGTCAGACGTAGTCGACAGCATAAAAAATGCCACTAACTATAGCTTCGATACGAAACACCATAAGTGGTGTGAACTGACAGTACTATTTCCAATAGCATTCTTAAGAGTTGATCTTTCGCAGGCACTTCGCGAAACAGCTATGAAGTCAGTTATTCACGAAATAAAGAACATAAAACGCGCAATCACGAACAAAGAGAAAGATGTTTTGTTCCTAAAGACAGAGGGTATCAATATCCTGCAAATGTTTAAACACGATCACCTCTTGGACTTGAACAAATTATACAGCAATGATATACATGCGATGGCCAGAACCTACGGCATCGAAGCAGCTAACAAAGTGATAATAAAAGAAATACAGAATGTATTTAATGTTTACGGTATTCAGGTGGACCCGAGGCATTTGACCCTAATAGCAGATTACATGACATACAATGGAGTGTTTGAACCGATGAGCAGAAAAGGAATGGAGGCGTCGTCATCGCCGCTTCAACAAATGTCTTTTGAATCCTCATTGATATTCTTGAGAGAGGCTGTACTGAACTCCAAGAAGGATAACATACGTTCGGCGTCAAGTTGCTTGATGTTGGGGCAACCTTGTAGGAGTGGAACAGGGTCATTTAGTTTGCAACACTATAACAAATTTATTAGTTAAGTTGAAAATGTGCTGGAATCACTGATTAATCAAGAAATAGTTTTTTTTCATAATAAACATTATGATATGTAAATATGTTTTATTTGATATGTGAAGGAACGGGTGTCATGCCCCTCCAACACCTTTGTGTTCGACCTTCACCTCCGACCAAGCGTGGTGATCATGCCAGGCGGGCCGCGACTCAACGGTTGATGTTGGGAAGTTGTATATATGCTAATCGGCGTGCGAATTACTCTACTGCGAAATAGGGTTAACAGTTACTCCGTAGTTCGGTTTGTCTTTGTTAGATGGCGCTGCAGTATGTTTTTTCGTTTTGCCGTATGTGGAAATCGCCACAGACGTTCCACGTACCGTGCGGGTGCGTGGAATGACGATGTTATCGCAGGCTGTGGGAGAGTATGTTTGGCACAAGTCGGCCTTAGTACTCACAGGTATCTGGTATTAAGCAGTTCTTTCACCGAGTGAGTGAGGTTACCAGAGCCCAAACGCCCCTTCTGTCTAGAATTCAAAAGGTGACAACGTGTTTGTGGCTCTTTACTTGCAGGTGCCCATAGGTGAAGGTAGTCACTTACCATCAGGTAACCCTTCTTCTTTTTAACTCCTTATTCCATAAAAAGGTTCTTTCATTACCCCACTGCCAAGGAAGGGTTATGTTTTTCGCTCGTATCTTGTATGTATGTGTGTCTGTATGCATGTAATATTCTTTATTACTCGTATTTTCGAAACCGCTACACGGATTTATTTAATTAACATATCGTTAGATTCGGCTTGGTAACCCAAGTGTTCTTAAATACGTGACTAAAAAAAAACAAGATCACGACTGTAAGACGCTATAAGTTAAAGAAAAAAAACTCTTTGGATACTGCAATATGGGTACCTATCAAATTAAAGGCCTCATCATGAGTATTTTAAAATGGTAGGTATCATCACATCGAGGGGGAAGTGTTGTCCCTCTCCCTTTGGATAATAACATGGTCCGGGTCCTCCCCAGAGTAGGATACCTGAGGCCGGCCGTCGGGTGGTTTTTGGTGGTAGTAGTTTTTATCACCACATACTCCTGGCTCCTGAGTCCCCGAGGACTCCTGCTCCTCGGGGACTCAGGAAGGAATCCGAAGGGATTTTCCACCACGTCAACAAAAAAAAAGTCACATCACAAGTCTCTAATAGTCCACTGCTGGACCTCTCTTTATTTCTTTATCTGCATAGGCCTCTCTTTTGAACAGAGGTAGGTAGGTATCATATATGGTATATTATGACCACAGTTTTAGCTAATTACTTTTAAATTGTCCTTTTGCAGTCGGGTTTTTGTTTTTTAAATTATTACTTGTTTTTCAGTTTCAGATAAACTGTATAGGGACAAGGGAAACCTACCCTCTAGTTATGCAACAGAATGATGTTTATCAACAGACCACAAATAGATACTTAATATTTATTATAGTTTACAAATGTTCTAATTAAGTATTCCTTTGATGCTTTTATTTGATATAAGAATATATAAACGGATGTTAATTAACAAGTCGAAATACTTATTTAATAAAAAGATTAGAGAAAACATAAAAATATTTCGTCTCGTTCCTCCGGCCATCGTACTTAACACGTTACACACCGGACAAGACTGTTGGTCTAATGGTTAGCGATCCTGACCGCTAAACCTGAGAATTCGATTCTAACCGAGGACAAAACATGATTTTTTTTCACTCAGACTCAGAACAACTATTTATGTATCACAAAATGTTGTCCCATGTGGTGATCGAACCCACAACACAGCGCAGTAGGAAGCGGCGAGGTGACCGTGCCGACCACTACGCCATCCGTGCAGTCAAAGAATTGTTAGTTATATAAGTATGTTTATTTCGAAATATATGTGCCCGGTTCACGGAAAAAGCAATATGCATGTCTCCTATTACAAGTGGAACAAAGAATTAAAGTCTGCAAAACACGCCTCTGTCAAAAGATGTGAGTCCACTCATGTGGTCTGTCACGGATCCTTGCACCACCCGTCATCTGTTTAGTCTGTTTGTTAAAAATAAGTTTCACGACTAATAAATAAAGGGTTCTATTATTTGTTTCTGAATGACCAATATGTATCAGTTATCAATTTAATTGGTTTAGAAAAGTGTTGTTATCTTTTCCGTTTAAGATTTTGAACTTATTACGCGCGTGTCGTATTGTAGGTCGAAATATCTGAAAATGAAAATAGCATTGCGCGCTAGTTCGCTTGCCGTTCAAAGTTGAGCATACGGGGGATCGTTACATTCGCTGTCATAGAGATTTAGTTTTACTTGTTTTATACTATTTATATTTGATTCAGTTATTCAACCACCTTCGCAGGGAATAAAGTTTCTTCACCCGGCTGTGCCCCTGAAAAACTTCTGCTAAATAAAACTTCGAACTTTTGTATAAATAATTTCTGTATTTGTCGTATTACAATGGTACTTAAATGATATTAAAGACAATTAATTACAGCGTTGATGGACATTATTCGGCGTGTTTAACATGCCTTGTAAGTCCAGGAAGTTGTACTCTTACAATAAAGGGACATCAAAATCAAATTGTCACAGACAAGAAATGTTTTTTTTTACGTTCGGTAAAATTAGTTTTTTTAGCACCCAATGCAAAGGCAGCAATTACGTACTAAGTTTATGAATAACCACTACATGTTATACACATTTTATTCATAAATAACCTGTAGGTGGCTTATAGTGTAGCTTAATATTAATAATATAGATACAGAATGATCACATCAGCTCCGAGGCGTGCAGCGTCTAACAACGTTACATGAAATAGTCTAATAGCTAAATATTACATAAATTTTCACAAGAGAAAAACATTTATAACTGCTTTACTAGCGCAACAACATTCGCTTTAAGCGAACAATGAATGATTATCAAAAAATCGAAACTCACAACACACGTTTACATTTTGGCACTAACACAGGCATAGACTAAAAGGAAGCTCATAAATGAAAATTGACTAACATTGACCTTAAGACGCATATCGACTCGACCATGTCAAACCGAAATCACTACTTTTTATAGGTTTAAGGTTTTAAGACGACAAGAAAAAAATATTCTTAAACACAAAGTATTTATAGATAGGGGAACCTGGATCATATTTAGCTAAGATATTATTTTCTTCCAACCAAGACTAAAATAATTTATAAAAATAATAGTTCCTTAGTCTATGACAAGGATTAGTGAAAGGTTTTCTTTTTAAATATTCGAGGCCCTGTGACTTGGTATAAAAATGCATGAATGGCACTGCTTTTTTAAAAAGTTGTTCATTTAAAATTAATGCGAGGATATAAAATTGTAAAAGTCACTGGCTAAGATGGATGGATTTCATTTGGACCCTTTTATCGCTAGTCTATCTTTCACACATCACTAACACAAGTTATAAAATAATTAATAACAATACTTGTATGGTAATTAAATGTAAATATAATTAATAGCTATAATGTTAAATAACGTAGTTAAACATTAATCACATGCGAGTTCTTGTGTATTTATACATAGATATTATCACAGCCCTATTGATGTGCGTCTCATTCTTTATAAAAATACGTGGACAGATGAAATGACTGTAAAACTGAGAAGTTAGCATGCACAAAATTTATCTACCAAATGGAAAGGTTAACAGGCATTTCTAAAAAAATATTAAAACAAAAATTAATCAATCTAAAAATTAATTTGCAAAATACACATTCTCACCTACGTTACATCGAACTCGCATTTGATCAAAGTCAACCACAGACAACAGCCACTTGAATAATGAAGTGTTTTTTTTAATCGACGCGAGAATTCGATTTGGCAGAATACTTTTTAATATCAGTTTTGAGACATTGCGTTTTGTCACATGTCACTTATAAGAGCACTCTATAAAAAAAATACAATGACGGCAATATTACAAAACACGAAGCAACAATGTTAAAATGTAATTATTTTATTTATTTTAAAATTACTGCGCGGTTTCCTGTAAACTTTGATTCTTGGCGGCTTTTTTCTCTAGTTTTTCAGATTTCTTTGCTGCGGCTTTCTTTGCATTAGCCTCATCATCGGCAGGGTTGTCCCACTCTAATCTCCGGCCGGAAGCGAAGACGTTGTAGAATGTGGCGCAGAATATGTACACACCAGCGGCGATATAAAACACTTTTCTCCATTGCACTTGTGTGGGCTGTTGCGAAAGAAATTTTATCTATTAGTTTACAATCAATACACTATGATTTTGTTTTTGGTGAAAAGTTATTTTTTAATAATCAGACTAAAAATGTTTTCATATGTTAAAAAAAACTATGCACGATACTAGTAGTGAAATAATACATACCCTGCCTTCAATGATGTAACCAGCTACGATTGGAGCAAGTAGACCGGTCAAGTTTGCAAGACAATTGGTAAACGCCATCAGGATGCCGGCGAAACGTGGTGAGATGTCCAAGTGGTTTACCTAAAGCGTAAAGAGTAAAGTAAGTATTTTTAAGAATAGAAATCACCAAGAAGTTTAAGTAATAAACTCTTAGTGACAAAAAGTATCATTACATTTTGAGTTGGGAATTTCAATTTTTTTTTTTGGACCGAATTGGACGGATTATCGGGGACATTTTGGTGTTTTTTTGTTTAGTAACTATTAATAATTGTGTTTTACATATTATAATTGACGAATTTATATAGCATAAATGACCTCCAATTACCTTGAAACCGGAGTAGATACCACCATTGAGACCCACGCCAACAGATAGTATGGCGACGGTAGCAGCGGGATTGCATCCAGTATTAGCCGCGATGAACAGACCGATAGCTGGGCCGTATTGACCTGGAACAACACACATTACAGGTTAAATATATTGGTCGTTCGTTTTTTTACCATACAACGCGACCAAGGTAAAAGAACCTTTAATACTTTGTAACTTGACAAATAATAAAAAGGTACGCCCCCAACTACAGACAATTATATTACATCACATTATCAACAGCTTTTAATAGTCCACTGCTGGACATAGGCCTCTCCTTAGAAAGGAGGTTTTGGCCTACTACACCACGCAGACGCTGGTACAAGGTTTGTGTCAAGTTTTCCTTCTCTTTGCAGTGTTGTTGTCAGTCCTGCGCAGTTTGCTCCCTTAGTCGGTTCTTACGACACCCACTGAATGGGATGGGATGAATAGGGATGGTGACATTCCGTCTTCTTAATCCGTCACCACGCGGATAGGACAATCGTATGTTAAGGACAATAATAGAGTCATATTCATAGGTTGATTTTGGTTATTTCTGTAAGAAACTATAAACAGAAAACACACACGATGGTAACACAGTAAAGGATTATATAGATCATCGCTAGGCTGTACTGTGCCAAAGAAAATCTTATTTCTTCGGGCAAAGAACACTGCAACTCGTAAGTACAAGATTTGAATTAATATGTACGTAACAAGTTTTTTTAATACACGTTTCGCGCTATTGAGCTAATTACTTTCTCTATGTTGCAGGGGCTTCACTAACTTACATCACCAGACATAAATTACTTAGGAATAATTGGACAATCAAACCTCAGCGATGCCAATATCAAGAAAAAGAAATGTGGTTTAAAATATAATAACAGCTTACCCATGCTGTTGATGATCTTCCTGACTTGTGTGTGATTGAAGCGACCGCTGGACAACATCCAGTCGGCTACCACGGAGATGAACATTGAGAACAGCCACATGCAGAGGTACGGGAGGGCAGACAAGAAGCCATTCTGTTCAACAAAAAGACACATTTTTATTTTTACAATATATACAGGTTAGAAGCATTCGAAACCGGTGAGTCTAATAACGGCAGAATTAGCATGTTAAAGTAGGAAAGAATTTACGCAAATATTATAAGTCGGATGGAAAGACCTAATGGTGTATACTAGAGATTCTCTGCAGTTTCAGCCTCTTTATATATCATATTCAAGCATGATGTCTGGAACGCTCCTATGGGTCAGCGGTCAGGTCAGCGGGATGTTGAATAGTCTATAATAACCACTCTCAAAATTGGGCTCCTTAAATAGTTAAATTTTATAGCAGTACTACTGGATCTGAAACTGCGGTCTGTGAACTTGGCTTTCTTTCGATTTACTATATACCTAACCTAGATAGATATATATTATTATCCTAAACAAATTTTCATTTATCCATCTGATGAACATCTGTCTCTTATTACATCGATTGCGACCGATGAGCCTGAGGCTATAGAAGGCCACCTTTTCGGTACAGCTGTCTACACGGCGATGTCATCGGGGATAAGACCATCATGTGTCCTTTTACAAGAGTAATCTTAAGCATTTTAATGAAAATAGAATGCAAAAATCTGCAATTCAGAATACCTAAAGTTTATTTCAATATTTATTAACAAGAGCAGGAAGCTTAAATTTTTAAACAAGCTGATGACCTTTTTCTGCAGAAACTCTTTCAAATGGGTCCACCTGTTTCCGTGAAATACAATCTTCAAAAAATTGTAACCCGTTTTTCATTTCAACATCAAAAATAAACTACAAGTGATTTTTTTTCGTTGCTACTACAACAAAAATGAATAAAACAAGAGTGAAGCATGCTTCTCTTCAAATAATATCATGGAGTGACAAGGAGTCTGTGTATATTGCCGACAGTCAATCTACACTCAGAGGGGCACAGTGATTTAACATGGCTTTGGTTAAGGGTTGTCACTACAATCTGATCAAAGGTCGTTGGCATACGGACTATCATTTAAAGTCTCGCTGGCCACACAATCAGAGTAGAGGACTCATTTAATGAAGATGTCACTATGAAAGAAATTATTAAAATCGCAAAGGATTGAGTATTTTCCGTTGGACTCCATCTATTTTTTTAGATGAATTCTTCTTGCTTTTACATAGAACTGTATGAATTCCAAAACATATGTATGTTTGTCCGTTTACCAATAATACGCTCAAAAATCTACTGAGTATTGTTTAGAATTTTCATAGGAATACTTGGAATGTACATACACACAAACGTATTTATAAGACCGTACAAAAACAGCGTAAGTCATTTTAAATTTTACTTCAGAGTAGCTTCTCTACGCGAGTAACCGCTTACGAAAAGTGCCAACCCTATTAAAATAGCAATTGACCGCATCTGAACCCTTGACCCGACCACGCGACAAATGATTAATGGTTCTTAACGATCAAATTTGTGTTACGCATCCAACGTTATTGGCTATAAATAACTGCGGGCAGATTGGATATTAGTGTATAGAAATTTCAGATTTATGCGATAATTATATTGTAACGCCACAATAATTGGGATAAGTGATAGAACATAACAGAAGATTATCGCCATCTTTCACTTCCAATCATTTTTCAGTCTACACCGTGGTTTGGTTCTTCTCGTAAGGTTTCATTTATATACAAGTATTTAGGTACATTATCTCGTGTAGCGAGAAAAACCTCTGACAAACTTCGAACTACATTTCCCGCCATAAATTCTTTAAAAGGGAAAATGCCAAAATTAAAATTAAATTAAAAGAATATTCATACGAGCCAATAAGACAATTTCCTTAATAAAACCTACCATTGCCATTATTAAACTTTCTTGATTATCATTCTAATAGAGTTTCTGCAACTAAGGAAACTATAACTTACATCTTTGATAGAGAAATGCAGAACTTGTCTCATGAACGTGGGCAGTTCTGTCATCAGTGTCTCGTAACCGTAGTTCTGACCCATGTGAGCCAACATGATGGCCCAAAATGGCATGGACATCAGGATTTTGCTCCACGGAATCGGAGGTGACTGTAATTAAAAAAGTTCATGAATACATTTTTGAATTCTAGTCTTTTCTGTATATAATTTGTGAACAAATTTTAATCGTACAAAGAATAATACCGTAAAGGACATATAAGGCGTCCAGTGCGCAGATATAGATTTAAAAAATTGAAATAAAAAAATGAACAAGTAAAAAAACTTACGCTGGAACCAGCAGTTCCCCACAAAGAACTTAATATGTACTTCTTCTCCGCCTCCTTGATGCGCGGGCACTGTTCAGGGTCCTCTGACACGAAGAACAGGAAGCCTAGGCACCACACGGTACCAACTAAACCAAATACGTAGAAGATTGAAGGCCAACCGTCGGCGAAGCCGTATGCCGACAAGAGACCCGACAGGGGCATAGATATCACCGTGCCGAATTGTGCACCTTAGAAAGAGGAAAAAATATAATTAACATTTTGTTTTTTCTATTGAGACGTGTAACGAAAAGTCGAATATTTTAGTTTTTCGTGAGTTTTTATGTGAGACTAATCTCACAATCATAACCACAGCTGTGACTCCTGTAGGCCAGGATCAAATCATCATCATCATCATCATCATCAACAGCCTTTAATAGTCCACTGCTGGACATAAGCCTCTCCTTAGAAAGGAGGATCAAATGCAGTGAGATAAAATAGAAGTCCATGGGAGGTTGAACTGTCTTACAAAAGACAAACGTCCTATAAAATTATTTATTCGAATTTTAAATTATTATAATTATTCGAAATTTTAATTAAAAACTTGCATAATATTCAGAAACAGTAAATTTTAGATATTTTAAACTCTTTTTAATAACGGTAATTGGTACGGATGACATTCTGTTAGAGTAATTTTTCTTTTTAAATTAAATGGAACGAGTTTAGATTAAATCTAATTGATCGTTAATTAGTCATTTAAGACATTAAATACTGTATATTTTTCTACATTCTTATTCATTTCTCTTATTCGATCAAGGCTTCTAATGGTTGCAGGTCATTTAATAATAAAAATAATCGTATAGGTAGTGAGGAGGTTCCTATCCTTGGAGTCCTAACAACCGGTGTCCTGGTCCCTGTACCCGATGTCGGTATTCTACTCGTACTATTTTTTATATTTTTAAATGTATTTGTATTTCTTTTGTAATATATTTAAAAATGTAATTAATTTGTATATATAATTTAATAAAGAGAATAATAATAAACTTTTTATTGTAGACCATGTTGTCCAATAAAAAGTTTATTATTATTATTTGCCTATAATATAGTATAGTCCGGTCTATTTATTAGGTACTTATCGCCACCGCTATCTAAGTACATATAACGGTAAAATATATTCATTTTAGCAAGCATACAGGATAAAAGCGTTAATAAATTGTAATAATAGCTCTAAAGAGGCTTCTTGTAAATGTCATCATACAAATATTCATAGCGATTTCGATGATTAAGTAAAAACAGTATTTTATGTCATCATCAACAGGCATTTAATAGTCCACTGCTGGACATAAGGCCTCTCCTTAGCAATGAGGTTTTGGCCTACTATACCACGCGGGCGGTATAGGGTTTGTTTCAAGTTTTCCTTCTCTATGCAGTACTGTTTTCCTGCACAGGTTTCTCCGTTAGTCGGCTCTTACGACACCCACGGGATGAATAGGGGTGGTGACACTCTGTATTAAGTACTCCGTCACCACACGAATAGAATGTTTGTTGTGGATTGTACCAATATTCTTAACTGTTTATCCTAAACTGTAGGAAGGAAACTAATCTAACGGGCCTGTGGGTCTACTGGTGAGTGACCCTGGCTGCTAAGCCGGAGGTTATTTGTCCTGGGTTCCCACCCAGGACAAATAATTGTGTGATGAGCATGGACATTTGTTCTGTGTCTGGGTGTAATTAATCTATGATATGTATGTATTTAGAAATATATAAGTATTTTTATCAGCAGTTTGGTTACTTCTGTTTAGTTTGCGATCGGACTGCTTGTGTGAGATGTCTGAAGTTATTATTATGATCGGGGACTATTGTTTATTAATTCTTACCAGCATATACGGCAGCACCCATTCTACTTCTTTCATTTGGTGGAATCCATTTCGCCAACATAGCGTGTGTGCATGGTACAATAGGCCCCTGAAAGAGTAATACTAATTAAAAAAACGCTCTGCACAAATAACATTTGGATACTGCATAATGACTACATTGTGACAGTACAGCGACAACTCTTTTATTCTTACCTCGCCCAAACCTTGGATGAACCGAACGAGAATCAGGTAACCGTATCCAGCCTCAGCAGCAACAGGCACTAACAGACCGAAGACAGAGTTGATCAACATACCGACACCCAGGAACAGCCGGGCACCGTACCTGAGGAGGAGGAAAGGGATTTAAGAAACGCGTAACTATGCCCAGTCATTTTTAAGCGCAACTAATTAAATCAAACATATACACATTATATTGTACATATTTATGTATTTACTTTTAATATATTGGTAGATATTTATGTGTATTTATTCGTAAAGAAACATGGCGTATGGAAACAAATCATATTCAGAATACTTATCCTTAATGTTTAAATGTAGAAGAAATGCAGAAAGTTAGAATTTAAAGTTAAAAAATATGTAAAGCTAGGGGTCCAATGTATATTTTTACATGGTACAAACAATGAGAGATCCAGTTATACTGGCCAATGCAATAAAACAAGACATAAAGACAAGAAATAGTTGAAATTCAACCGTCAGGCGATCCCGAGTCTACTTTATTTTGTTGGGTTTCGGTAGAAAGTCCGACAAAATATTGCAGTACATATACAAAGAACTTTTTGGATGACATTAGTGAAAAATTGTAGGTACTCACCTTTTTGATAAAATACCAAAAGGTATTTGGGTGATGACGTATCCGTAGAAAAATGAAGACAAGATATATCCTTGCATCGGCGTTGACCAAACGAATTTTCCGTCTTGCGAAGCATGCTACAATAAATAAAAAAATATAGAGATATAGAGATATTATGTACAAAGGGCAAGAGGCATTTAAAAAAAAAATTTTGTACATTTAATGTTTGATTTGGTCTGGGTGTTTCTATTTATAACAAGTATGTGTTTACAAAAAAAAAAACGGTATGTATTTATATCAGTTGTCTAGTGCTTTGCTTAGTTTAGTTTGGGACTAGCTTTGCTTATAAGCTTTGCTTAGTTTGGGACTAGATGGCGTTGTGTGAATGTGGTAGAAAATTATTATATAGGCATTTTTTTTACTGTACTGCAAGACATTGTGGCTATTGTTGAATTCAGGACAAGTCTGACTTCGGCAGTTGCCACTGTCTATAATGCAGTGTAGGACATTTTATTAAAATTGTAATGAGCGCAGAACAGTTTGGCATCCTCTTCCCTACCGAAGAATGTGGTAAAAAAGCTTTATGTATATACATATGTACCTATTTGGGTCTAAACGAAATAAAAAGAATTATCTCCGGTTTTTTTATACGGCTGAGCTGATTTTCTTATTTAAACAGAATATATATTTTTTACAAGATCATATGTGCCAGTTTCTTAATATACAAAAATATGTCGTACTTACATTGGTCGTGTTAGTCTCTGTGTCCCCACACTCGTTGTCTGTCGCCTCGGCGACCACTGGTAGCGCTGTGTGGTTCACCATGGCGACAATGGCAACCGACATGTTGGTTCTCATGATGTACGCGTTTGCCATACCCAGGAACAACATGAAAGTCACCCAATGGCGAGTGCCCAGGCCACCTGCGAACAAGAAATAGAACAGATCAGCTTTGGGTTTCACATACGTTCTAATGCTGCATAATACCAGCCTTTGCCAGATTTTGCTTACTCAGATCAATCTCAGAATAATAATTTAAAGATCACACAAAATGTTGCCCATATGGGGGTCGAACCCACAGCATTCAGCATAGTAGAAAGTAGCTTGGCAACCGCTTAAACCACTACGCCATCCGTGTAATCTGAGTTATTAAATGTATGTACTATATATTCATCATAGATCTATGGTAGACAAAACTAGATACAAAGCCACAACAACGACGACCTTCAATTCGATAGGCTTGACTGCTCAATTAGATTGTAGATAACGTCTGAAATTGGATCGATCGCAAATTACTACGAATGGCATTTACTAACTTATTATATATGTATGTTTGTAGGCTTGATGTTCACGTGATCTACTTAGAAATTAGTCGCGAATCATCATGGTATAAGTGTATTGTCCTAATAGCGTTTCCAATCACAGGACGAAATTATGGGTAAATTGCACATAACACAGAATAACGTGTGTTTTCTTAGTATTCTCAGTGGTATGGTGAATTTGGGTATGGGTACGGTGACAATTTCGAGCCACTGATGCCTCAGTCCTGTTACCCCAGTCTCCAGTGAACGGTGTGACGGGCCTGACGGCTAGTGGTTAATGACCCTGACTGCTAAGCCAGAGTCGTGGCTTCGATTCCCACCCAGGACAAATGTTGTGTGATGAGAGCGATCATTTGTTCTGTGTCTGGGTTTCATCACATCAACAGCCTTTAATAGTCCACTGCTGGACATAGGCCTCTCCTTAGAAAGGAGGTTTTGGCCTACTATACCACGCTGGCCAGACGGGTTGGTATAGGATTTGTGTCAAGTTTTCCTTCTCTTTGCCGTGCTGGTTGTCCTTGGTGTCTGGGTTTAATAAATATATATTACTAAGTATGTATTTACAACTAGGTCGAAAACATAAAACTATTTAAATGTATGTGCAAAAATGACACATCACTACTCATTCTGGAAGACCTAGACAGGTCTAGTTTTAACAGAGAACTTTTGATGACTATGATGATGTTTGCAAAATAAAATCGATGTTGGTATTCAACGGTAACAGACGTAAAAGAGCCATGGAGTCCGGTGCGGAGGTTGGATGCCCTCTATTCACAAGGACCAACTACCTGACGATAGGTAGGTACTGGATTCAGAAGGCGGAGGATCATGCCCAGAAGTAGGCTGCTATACGCCAATAAAATTATTGGGACCTAAAGTTAACGTGTCATTTTAATAGTAATAGCCTAGTCACGTGTTTTTGAGTTTCTTTTTATAAAATAAATTAGAAAATTAAAATAAATAGGAAACATTTAATCGATATCGGAGCATGAAACAGTAATTACTAGTGCAATCTTTATAATAGTAACTACAACGAGTCCATGATAATCGTAAATGGCTAAAACGATAAGTGCCACACATGATAAAGCTTAAAGGTTACTTAGAATTAGCTACAACTGCGCCGCCACGCCGCGGCGTTTGGAAATAAATTTACTTCTAACGAAAATCTTTATATTGAGGGATTTTTTCTTGGAAAAGAAAATTGACGGGAAGAATTTCTGTCTCAAGTCTATTATTGAAAAAAGTGGTTTGAATGAAATCGCCGTGTGTGATAAACACCGCCAGTTAATAGTTGTAATATTTTTTTTATTTGTAAGGTACAGAGAAAGATAAAGATTACTTTTTTAATTAATGTGCTAATAATATGTATAGTGCAATATGTCTTCGTTCGGTAATAGTGTAAAGAGAAATAAAATGGTAGCTGAAATTGAGATTTTTGTTTAAAAAAATAACTGCGCTGCGCTATAAACAAATGACTTAAAATAAAACTAATTACAGAGAAGTTTTGCACTCCGTTTAAATTTTTAATTTGAGCCATTGACGTAAATCGATACAGTCACATGCTGTATTTATATTATTATGATGGACCACTTGACACCGAAATAATGTTATTTGTGCTCATGAGAGTGCGCACAGTCAACAGTGTCTGTCAAATAAGTTATGATAATATGCACGGGTGCTCCACGCAAGTAAAATGTATGTATTAATCAACACAAATAAATAAAATTAGTCTGGAATATTAAACTAAAAACTATTTTATTAAATTAATCTAAACTCTTACAAGATATTAAAAAAAAATAAAAAAAACAAACCAAAACAAAAAAAGAATCTCCAGAATGGTCCTTTAGAAATAACTCCATTTCTAAAGGACTTGTTCTGGCAGATACAAGAAGTAACTTATGCTACTTATTTTGAAAAAGTAATTGAGATTCATGCAAGTGAAGTCGTGTAAAGAATCCTTTTTTTTGGTGAAACACCAATCTCAGGAACTATTAGTTGGACATTAAAATTACAATTGTAGACAAATTTTTATAAAACTCTAGAAGCCATTTGATATCACGCGTCGACTGAACGTCAGCAGAGCATTGTCCAGGAACGTTGGTAAAACTGGGCGAAAAAGATAAGCTAAAATTAATCTCCAAACTTTTCGGCATCCACACAGTAAAATTATAATTCTTGTCATTCAACTCATTAAAACAGTATGAAAATCCATAAGTGATGTAAAACTGTAGACGGCATTACCCTAAAACTTGGCAATCATATTCAACTGCCAGAGCCAAAATGTCAATTGCTATTTGGATAGTTTTAATAATATTCACTGAAGCCATGTTATTTCAGTAACATTTCTACCTAGAGTAATATAATTTCATATTGTTGACGGAAGTGTATTGCGTGGGTGGATAAAATTATTTCATGTCAGGAAGGGTAATTTGCTCTTTGGTAAACAACAGATCAGCGAGAGAAACTAAGTGTTGCCGTAATTATAATCACTAGCCCGACCCTAAGTAATATCTATAGGAAGCATAGACAAAATGGCATAGATAAATCATAAATAGCAAGATTGGATAATTCTACAACAATGTCATTGGTGTTTCCTAGCGTTACGATACAAACCGGTTTTGCACAGTATTTGAAACTTGAGATATCCCGAAGGACAAGATTGAAAAGCCGCTGGAAATGGTTAAATGGTTCTAGTTTATTTTAAGGGATACGTGCACAAAGCACTTTTCAAGTTATGACGTATGATAATGTAATAATAGAAAATGGACGGGTCTTAACGTTTCTGTATAAAAAATAACGTAAGTTAATTGTACAAAAACCTCTCAAATATTTTTATCATACATTAAATAATTATATAAAACTCAATGGTATGTATGTTTCACTATTGTGTCAAAAAACATTGTGTATTAAATAGTTCCTTTTTTGACGGAAAGAAAAGAAGACTTATAAAGTGAGTTATACATCACTAGCTACTAATAAAACGTCACTACACTTGATGTCATTAGTACGTCAATAGGTATCAAAGACGTTTTAATTTATAAAAGAAATTGCTCAAGTTTGTTTATTGTATTCCTGATATTTATTCGTTACACTAAGATTACATTAAAACAAATATGCAATTACTTGAGAGAAAAATAATAATAAGAAATTAAAATTACAAAAGTTTCAAGATCCGTGACGAGCCATGAAATAAAATTTTATTCGCGGTCGTAAAAATCTGTTTGATAAAGTACCGCATCAACGCAATAAATTTATAGATATTATAATTGTACCTATGTTTTAAGAGTCTTATACAACTCGCAAATGAAAAAAATGTTAATACTCTTTGAAGTAGACATGTAGTCTACTAAAATAGTTGCATCGTTCATCCAAGTTATATTTGGAAACCGAAAAGAAATGGTCCAATTCCACATCTTGTAGAAATTAGAGGTGAGCGCCAAACATTACGTTTTCATTTATTTACGTTGAGATAAAGCTTATATTGTGTTTTTCTCTTCTATAGGTTGTCTGTCTCATTTCTTTCTTGGTATATTTCTTTTTTAACAAGACACCGATATCGTACTGACGGATGTACCTACTGTCTATTACACAGAATTATTACATACAGAATATTATACAGAGTTATTTTGGAACAACTCGGAAATGTCGATTGAAATCTAAATTCGGTTTGGTATAAATATTATAAATTTGGTGGCAAAAGTATAACGCTACTCGGTAATCGGTAATTTTGCCGCGAAACGAGAGACGGCAAAAACTTGCAATAAAATTATTGTCTTTACACATTGTAAATGTAATGAGTAGGATTGTGTGAAAAAAAATACATTAATTTATTATATTATAAAATTAATTACCACTTCTTATTAAATCAGATATTATGTAAGACATAAAAATTACATTCCTTATTATTTCACGATATATACACACATTTGAGTCCACACGAAATTATAATTTTGAAGTTTTAATAAGACGCTTCTATTCGTTTTCGTGAGGAAAGGTAAAGGCACTACTACAATTCTTAACTATTAAATACATCATGGAACGGAATACTTTTTCATACATATAGGTCTTTAATCTGTAATGAGTGGCATTGACTTCGCCAAACCGCACATTAACTCAAACTTTAAAAATGCTATATTCTCTATGGATACTGTTCAACATAAAATCCGCAAAAGTAAAATATTTGTGTTAGATATATCAAAGTTTTTTAATCAACACATAAATTAACAACAAACAAACCGCTAACGACGATCTAAAATTTATGAACGCATTCCGATGTATGTGTGAAAAAAAAGTTCTCCGCACATTTTCTTACGATGTAATATAGAATAGAATACTACGATATATTTTTTTGTTCTATAATGTTATCAATTCAGCATTCAAACTGATTATTCTAAATTCCAAATGTTGAGACTACTAGAATCAAAGTAAAATATATTGGTAATCTTAAAAATAAGGTTGGAAATAGCAATTCTACCTGCAATATATAATTAACAAGGCCTAATCTCCACCGCCCCGTACCGTGCCTCAAGAAAAACAAAACAAAAATAAAAGTAATACCTACTGTGAACCAAACAGAACTTATTATCAATGTCAAGGTCGAT